CGGTACATGTTTGTCAAGCCACTCTTGTTTACCCTCAGACAAATAAGAGCTTTAAACCTGACAAACTAGCTAACATGGGCTGGGAATTTAAACCTAACAAGCTAGCTAACAAGGACGTGATTAAGCCTAACAAGCTAGGATTATCTCCTCATCCCCTCGCAGCGCTGTATAGCCCTTGTGGCTTAGCGCTTCTCTTTGATTATAATAATAGTAATCCTCATCCCCTCCTGGAGTTTACCTGGAGAGAGTTTCGGGGGTCAACGCCCCCGCGGCCCAGTCTGTGACCAGGCCTCCTGGTGGATCAGCGCCTGATCAACCAGGCTGTTGCTGCTGGCTGCACGCAAACCAACGTACGAGCCACAGCCCGGCTGATCAGGAACTGACTTTAGGTGCTTGTCCAGTGCCAGCTTGAAGACTGCCAGGGGTCTGTTGGTAATCCCCCTTATGTGTGCTAGGGAGGCAGTTGAACAGTCTCGGGCCCCTGACACTTATTGTATGGTCTCTTAACGTGCTAGTGACACCCCTGCTTTTCATTGGGGGGATGGTGCATCGTCTGCCAAGTCTTTTGCTTTCGTAGTGAGTGATTTTCGTGTGCAAGTTCGGTACTAGTCCCTCTAGGATTTTCCAGGTGTATATAATCATGTATCTCTCCCTCCTGCGTTCCAGGGAATACAGGTTTAGAAACCTCAAGCGCTCCCAGTAATTGAGGTGTTTTATCTCCGTTATGCGCGCCGTGAAAGTTCTCTGTACATTTTCTAGGTCGGCAATTTCACCTGCCTTGAAAGGTGCTGTTAGAGTGCAGCAATATTCCAGCCTAGATAGAACAAGTGACCTGAAGAGTGTCATCATGGGCTTGGCCTCCCTAGTTTTGAAGGTTCTCATTATCCATCCTGTCATTTTTCTAGCAGATGCGATTGATACAATGTTATGGTCCTTGAAGGTGAGATCCTCCGACATAATCACCCCAGGTCTTTGACGTTGGTGTTTCGCTCTATTTTGTGGCCAGAATTTGTTTTGTACTCTGATGAAGATTTAATTTCCTCATGTTTACCATATCTGAGTAATTGAAATTTCTCATCGTTGAACTTCATATTGTTTTCTGCAGCCCACTGAAAGATTTGGTTGATGTCCGCCTGGAGCCTTGCAGTGTCTGCAATGGAAGACACTGTCATGCAGATTCGGGTGTCATCTGCAAAGGAAGACACGGTGCTGTGGCTGACATCCTTGTCTATGTCGGATATGAGGATGAGGAACAAGATGGGAGCTAGTACTGTGCCTTGTGGAACAGAGCTTTTCACCTCATAGGTGCCTTGATTCCGGTGAGGAGCATCTGATCCAAGGAGCTAGACTTATCCTTCCCTTCCTTGGATCGACCTGAATGCCTTCCATTCCCAAAGTGTATATGGTCCCAACTGGTTTAGCGCTTCCCTTGATTAAAATGAAAAAAATAAAGTACCCACTAAGACGTAATCCACAATTGCCAACTTAACAATCAGGTGCCTGTTTTTCTGCTTACTGTTCCTTCAAGGAGACAGGTGCTATATGATAATGGTGAAAGGTTTTGTTCCAAGGATAATGGAACTAGCTTTCCCTGCCTTGAATCAAACCTGATTAACTTGCTGTATAGTCCTTGTGGCTTAGCGCTTCTTTTTGATTGTAATAATAATAACTCGCATTCTCCAGATCCTGTACGACCCTACGTATGTAGTTTTTCCCCATAAATATATACAATAATAAAAAAAATGGTTGTAATTATGACTATAATTTTTAAAGAGGTGGACCGGTAAGCCAGCGGAAGACCTCGGTCAGATGACCAAAAGCTCCCACGGCGGGTCATCATCTGACTAAGACCCGCGTCAGGAAACACTTGTCCTGTTTCCTGACGAACCTTACCTAAACTAACCCATAAATATAGAGTAATCCTGCTTGGTGAATATGGGCTGCAGATTTGCCCATACGTCAACGCACGCCCTGATATTAAATCCCAGTCCTCTAGAAATCAACCAGATTCGATACCACTGACCTACTGGCGACAGTGTCACGCATTCTTCATGTGAATAAAGTTGTTGAATTTTATGGAGCACTCACCGTGTGGGTCAAACCCTAGAAACCCATGCTGTGCAAATATGATAGGGACGCCAAACCCATGATGATTCTCTTCAAATCCCTTGTGCTCTCTAGGCTGGAATACTGCTGTGCTGTATAGTCCTTGTGGCTTAGCGCTTCTTTTTGATTATAATAATAATAATGGAATACTGCTGTGCACTAATTGCCCCTTCAAGGCAGGTGAAATTGCTAACCTGTAGAGTGTACAAAGAACTTTCACGGCACACATAAGTACGATAAAGCACCTAAATTACTGGGAACGGTTGAGTCCCTTGATTTGTGTCCCTGGAATGCAGGCGAGAGAGATACTTGATATTATACACTTGGAAAATCCTAGAAGGATTAGTACCAAATTTGCACAGGAAAATTACACACTATGAAAGCACAGGACTCGGCAGGAGATGCAACATTCCTTCAATGAAAAGCAGGGGCGCCACGAGTACACTGAGAGACAACACACTAAGTGTCAGGGGCCCAAGACTGTTCAACTGCCTCCCAGCATACATAAGGGGGGATTACCAATAGACTCCTGGCTGTCTTCAAACAGGCACCTAAAGTCAGTACCTGACCAACCGGGCTGTGGTTCGTATGTCAGTTTGCGTGCGGCCAGCAGTAACAGCCTGGTTGATCAGACCCTGATCCACCACGAGGCCTGGTCTCAGACCGAACCGCGGGGGCGTTGACCCCGAAATCCTCTCCAGGTATGCATCCTGCGTGACGTATTAACAAGAACAACTATCCAGTCCAATGGGAATGTGAAACAAACAAAGTTAATTAACACTTGCTTTAAACTTAGAAAAATATCATATATCAAGCGGCAATACCAATGGAAATAAGTCATTTTATCTGACTTTTTGGGGGTTATCCTTGGTAATTTACGCATTTGATGCTATGCATGATAATTTGTGTAAATATATTTATGTGTACCTGTATCTAAATAAATTTAACTTACTGACAAAGCATATCACAATTTCTCCCTCATGGAAATATGAACATTTACGGATGACAGACAATGGTTTGCAATTAGTCACCTACTGATCCCAAGTGCACAGCATGCTGGTAGCTTTCATTTGTGCTTAATAATATTTTATTACATGTCAACTACATTTAAGGTGTCCCGTAACTCGATTGCTAGCGCGCTCAGCTCACACATTGGTCCGTGGTTCGATCCCCGGTACGGGTGGCAACATTAGGACGTGTTTCCTTAAGAGTTAAGAAACCTGTTGTTCTTGTTCACTTTGCAGTACAATAGGTACCTGGGTGTTAGTCGACTGGTGTGGGTCGCATCCTGGGAACAAGATTGACCTAATTTGCCCGAAATGCTCTGAATACCCTCCCCCCCCCCACACACACAGGCTCATATTAGTGTATACAGCACCAGTTTGGAACCCACACCTGGTCAAGCACGTCAACAAATCAGAAAGTGCAAAGGGTCGCAACATCTGGGAAATCTGCCTGACGACACTAGAGGATAGGAAGATTAGGGGAGATATGATAATGACATACAAAATACTGCGAGGAATTGACAAGATAGACAGAGACAGGATGTTCCAGAGAGGGGACACAGAAACAAGGGGTCACAATTGGAAGCTGAAGACTCAGATGAGTCAAAAGATGTTAGGAAGTATTTCTTTAGTCACAGAGTTGTCAGAAAGTGGAATAGTCTGGCAAGTGACGTAGTGGAGGCAGGAACCATACATAGTTTTAAGAGGTATGTTAAAGCTCATGGAGCAGGGAGAGAGAGGACCTAGTAGCGATTAATGAAGAGGCGGGGCCAGGAGCTATGAATCAACCTCTGCAGCTACAAATAGGTGAGTACGCACACATACACACACCCTACACCCCTACCTGCTACTGCCCCTGTTCATCTAGCAGTAAGTTGGTACCTTGGTGTTAAGTCGACTGTTATGGGTTGCATTAGGTTGTAAGATTAAGATTTCGTTCGGATTTTTAACCCCGGAGGGTTAGCCACCCAGGATAACCCAAGAAAGTCAGTGCGTCATCGAGGACTGTCTAACTTATTTCCATTGGGGTCCTTAATCTTGTCCCCCAGGATGCGACCCACACCAGTCGACTAACACCCAGGTACCTATTTGCTGCTAGGTGAACAGGACAATAGGTGTAAGGAAACGTGTCGGAATTTCCACCCACCGGGAATCGAACCCGGGCCCTCCGTGTGTGAAGCGGGAGCTTTAGCCACCAGGCCACCGGGCCACCTAGCCACCAGGCCACCGAAATGTCTCGGCATGATAGAGGCTTTCTTTGTACCAATCAAATTATGAAATGTAAACACACATTGTAACCTTTGCGAAGAAATAAACTTTTGTTTTGTTTTGTTTTATTTTTGGTATAACCAGGAGCTTTCTATATAGCAGTATGGTAACGGTGGCCCGTTGTTCGATCGCTAGCGCGCTCACCTCACACACTGAGGTCCGGAGTTCGAATGTCCTCTGGTACGGCTGGTAAACATTAGGGATGTGTTTCCACAAGCCACCTACTGTCCCTGTTCACCCATCAGTAAAATGGGTACCTGGGAGTTAGTCGACTGGTGTGGGTCGCATCCTGGGACAAAACTGACCTAAGTTGCCCGAAATGCTTTGCATAACAAGTGGCTTTCTATATAGTAGTATGTCATTGATGTCAGCTATGGTCTGTATATCTTGTACATATACTTGTAGTAAATAAAGATATTATTATATTATATATTATTTATATTATTATTTAATTATTATTATTATTTTATTATTATTATTATTAATTATTATTTTCATTATTATTAAGCCCCTGATGTAAGCTAGGCCTGTATAGTTGTACATGTAAAATAATGATTATATTAATTACATTTGTATACTGTACAAAGAAAGTTTGTTGGAAGACTACACGCCTCCCTGACACCCTTACACGCCTCCCTGACACCCTTACACGCCTCCCTGACACCCTTACAACGAAAGTCACACCATTGTGACGCCGTCACACCACTGGTGGGCTCAGTGTTGAGTCAGCCAGGCAGGGGAGCGGGTGTACTTTCTGCTTTTCTTTGTGCAAAGACACCGGTAAGAAACAATTGTGCTGGTAATTTCTTGATTTTTTTCTTTCTTAAAACTCTAACCCCAATGGAAATAAATAACTTTGACTTTGTTTTTGTGGGGGTTACACTATGTATGATAATTGTACTTATGCGTACCTGTACCTAAATAAACTTGAAAAAATGGCTCGAAAAGTGGTATGGTAATACCGACAAGATGTGGGAAAAAACACTTATGTACAGCTCAGGACATATATTAGAAGAAACGTTTCGCCACTCGTGGCTTCTTAAGAAACCACGAGTGGCGAAACGTTTCCTCAAATAAATGTCCTGAACTGTACATGTCTTTCCACTAAATAAACTTGCCAACCTTCGTCTTCCTCTTCCAGTATTATCCTTGAATAATAGGAAAAATAATACCTGTCATTTTATTATTTTTATTATCATCATCATTATTATTATTATTATTATTATTATTATTATTATTATTATTATTATTAAAAAGCACTAAACCTACTAGGGTCATACAGCACTGCAGGGCAGGAACTTATGCAGGATCAAAGGATAAGCAAGGTTTGAGATATTAATTTAGCTGCACTTGTTTTCCCTTTAGGAAAAAAAATAAGCCGACTACTTTATTCGGATTAGCTGTATGGCCCATACGGGTTAAGTACTTTTTTAAGGTTATTCAGTGTCCCGTAGCTCGGTTGGCAGAGCACTCAGCTCACACACTGAATGTCGGGCGTTCGATCCCCGATACGGGTGCAAATGTGAGGTATCTTTACGTAAACCTGTTGTTCCTGTTCACCTACCATTAAGTAGGTACCTGGGTGTTAGTTGACTGGTGTGGGTGGCATCCTGGGGTGGCGGTTTGGGGCTGGGGCTTCCCAGTGAGCTGAGGTGGGATGACTACTCTCAGCCTGTACAACGATTCTTGCAAAAAAATAAGGCATGAACACTGGTGTGTTAATAACCCAGTATGTCCCAGGCAGTTAGTTTAACAACTTTGTTAAACCAGGAAAAATATCTGCTAACACCTATTTACTGCTAGTTGACCAAGGGCACTAAGTTTATTTAGGTACAGGTGGACATAAGTACAGTCATCATAGAATGAATCCAGAGACTATTTCACATGGAATAATGGCTCTGAATTGAAAGATGTCTGTAGTTAGTAAGTTTATTCATGTATAGACAAATACAGTTACATGGATTATCATACATTATCATATCATATCAGCATATGTGTAAAGAACCTATGATTACCCAAAAAAGAGCCTTGATATGTTTCACCCACTTTAAGCACTTTGACTAAACCCCATTGGGTGAAATATTGTATCACATAAATAAAGTAGGGGGTTCTTTGTGTATATACTGTACAGTTCCATTCAGTTTGCTGTATGCCTTTCTAATAACAGAATATTGTAACTAAAAACAGTATACTTACAGACTATTGTTATTACACAAGTATCTAAAGTTCTCTTAACATTTACAGTATTATGGTACTGTTACAATATTAGATTCTGTAGATTCTATAATAAAAAGAATTACTTATTTCTTTGGTCTTCTCATAGAAGTGCTGTTTACCAACAGAGCTCAGAAAATGGATGTGTGGATATGGGCTGTGCTGGTGGTGATGTTAGTGACTGGGACCCAGGCAGATACTCCTGCTAACTGTACTTTTGATGATATCCGAGGAGACTGGACAATCTACGAGACTGAACGCACTGGGGATGATAATATCGTCTGCGATGAGATGGGTAAGTAAACCTTGCTTCAAATTCAGATTCTTTATTTCAGCATGATAGTGTTTGTGCAGAGATGGGTGACATTTTGGTGCACATTTAGAAAGCCTTTAGCATGCAGAGCATTTTGGGCAAACTTAAGCCTATCTTAAGACTAAAAAGGAAATAATTGTAGTTGATTCATGTGTACTCGCCTATTTGTGGTTGCAGGGGTCGAGTCTTAGCTCCTGTATGTATATGGTCTCGAGTGGTTTTAACAATAAACACTTTTACTGAGTTTAATTGTTTTAAGGATTACAGGTTGGCATATGATTACAGATAATGATGATTCTTGCATATTAGTACTAGATTTAGGAATTACAATGAAAACTTTTATTGAGTTTAAATGTTTCAAGGATGACAGTTTGACTTTAGATTATAGGTAATGAGGTAATATAATGTGTTTTGAGAACATTCAATATATTTAATGGTTGTGAGGATTAGTCGCATTATGTTAAAAGATTTTGGCAAAAAAAATTGTTCAGGGAGGTACTAACGTAAGCTTGTTTTAACATTTCTCACTTTTAATAAGATTATTTTTCCTTTCCAACTCACAAACATTAAAGATAACAGGCAAATCATACTTAACGCTTTTACTTTGTGGGTTTTTAATTGGTTTCTATAATCTACAATTTGTCTGAACATTTCTGTGGGGAAAGTATATTAGAAGCATATCCTTGATGCAATGCTTGATTTATGACACTTTTTTAAGATGTTTCATCCCCTTGGGACTATCTGTTCTCATGAAACTCTGGTTGACAAAACAGCTCAGTAAATTGCCATAAATCACATATTGTCTTATTAATTAACATACCAGTTGGTATATTCTAACAGTGATATATATGACTTTCCTGGTAGTATTCCAAGGCATACCACCAAGGGTGATGAAAGAAAGACAGGTGCAGAGCAAGATTCTTTTGTAGGAATGTTTAGCTCTATGTAGAGCCAAAATAAATGCTTGCTCTGCACCTATCTCTTTTCTTAACCACCACCCTCTGGAGCCATGTGTGTTGTGGCCATTGAATGAAAACTGAAATTGAAGCACACATCAACACTTGGGTTGTCACTATTCAACCTGAGCAGTTTGTTATACTCCTTGTACTCAAATGCATCCATGTATCAACATATGACCCAAATTGCAAGCCATTGTCTGTCATTCATAAATACTTTTAACTCCATGAGGGAGAAATTGTGGCTAGCTTTTATAATAATAATAATAATAATAATAATACCTTTATTTGCTACAAGTACATGTACATGGTATACAGGCCAAGCTGACATCAATGACATACTACTATATAGAAAGCCCCTTGTTATGCTGAGCATTTCGGGCAATTTAGGTCAGTTTTGTCCCAAGATGCGACCCACACCAGTCGACTAGCACCCGGGTACCCATTTTAAACTGATGGGTGAACAGGGACAGCAGGTGTCTTATGGAAACATGTCCCTAATGTTTTCTAGCCATACTGGAGGAGATTCGAACTCCGGACCTCGGTGTGTGTTTTGTCAGAAGCCAGACACATGTATGGTAGAAATGTAGATAATGGAATCAGTTTGCCTTTTGTGGATTCCCTTTCACTTTGGTCTTCATATGCATGATAGACTGGAGAGGAGAGAGTAGATTATCATCCATCTTTGGGCCATCCATAAGCAGTTTGAGGGCTCTGGTGGCTAACGCTCTCGCTTCACACGGCGGGGGCCTGGGTTCGATTCCCAGCCAGAGTAGAAACATTGGGCGTGTTTCTTTCCACCTGTTGTCTGTTCCACATCAGTAAAATGGGTACCTGGGTGTCAGGTGACTGGTGTGGGTCGCATCCTGGGACACTGACCTAATTTGCCCGACATGCTGAGCATAACAAGGGGTTTTCTATATACAGTAGTAGTATGTCATTGTTGTCAGCTAGGCCTGTATACCATGTTACATGTACTTGTAGTAAATAAAGATATTATTTATATTATTATTATTATTATTATTATTAATATAATAGTACAAAACAAACAGTGGCTTGAAACAGTGGTAGATTGACACCTGTTCATCTGTCACCATCCTGTCATGCAAGAAAGAGCACATTCAACAATGCTTGAACATAACTGCTGTCTGGCTTCAGCTAGGCTACAGGTGCTGTACCTCTGGGAGTTTGCACCACCAGCTGATTTTTTTTTTTAATACCATTGAACTTATAGGTAAAGAACTGTTATCTTGCCTCAACTAATTTAAAGTCCCTAACACGCTCCTGGGATCTAACTAATAGTAGTCGACCAACATCCATTTACCTACTTATTGCCAGTGTTTTCACTTAACCCCACTTTGAACATGAGCCTTTCAGTTGAGTTAGAGGCACTACCTGAGCCACATTAGTTTCCCAGTTCCATAAATTTTTCACCATTCCATGGCTAAGTATTTTACATTTTATTTGTTTCTCATTAGTGTTTGATCTGTATTTAAATATCTTTAATTTCAATATTTAACATAGGTAAATCACAGATAATAAAAAGATTGCAAATACAGTGGACCCCCGGTATTCGATGGCATCGGTATCCGATAAATCCGATATTCGATGCATTTTAACGCAAAAATTTTGCCTCGGTATCCGATCGAAAACCCGGTATTCAATGCGATTCGTATGAGACATGTCCACATGTGGCCTGAACTGCCCCGTGTGTGCCAGTGTTTACAAGCCAGGCAGTGTGCGCGCATCTAAGGATACATTCGGTACATTCTATATTATCACTGTTTTTGGCGCTTATTTCTGAAAAATAAGTCACCATGGGCCCCAAGAAAGCTTCTAGTGCCAACCCTGTGGTAAAAAGGGTGAGAATTAGTATGGAAATTAAGAAAGATTTTGAAGGGTTTGTGGCTAACCCTGAGAAGCCTATGCCAGTTGTGGAATCCATTGTGCCTACTTCAAAAATTAAGGAAATGTGTGCAAAGTGGGTTGAACTGCAAACCTTTATGGATGAAAATCACCCTAACACAGCTATTGCAAGCCATGCTGGTGACTATTACAATGACAATGTTGTGGCCCATTTTAGACAATTCTTAAAGGAACGGGAGGTACAAAGCTCTTTGGACAGATTCGTTGTGCGACAGAGGTCCAGTGACTCTCAAGCTGGTCCTAGTGGCATTAAAAGAAGGGAAGTAACCCCGGAAAAGGACTTGCTACCTCAAGTCCTAATGGAAGGGGATTCCCCTTCTAAACAAGTCCTAATGGAAGGGGATTCCCCTTCTAAACAGTAACAACTTCGACACTCTCCCCTCCTCCCATCCCATCAATCATCACCAGATCTTCATTAAAGGTAAGTGTCAGTTATTCTATTGTTATTATTCTATTGTTATTTTTGTTATTGTTATTATTCTATTGCATTAAACTTAATATTTCACGTGCTAAAAAAATTTTTTTCATACTTTTGGGTGTCTTGCACGGATTAATTTGATTTCCATTATTTCTTATGGGGAAAATTGATTCGCTTTTCGATATTTTCGGCATTCGATGAGCTCTCAGGAATGAATTAATATCGAATACCAGGGGTCCACTGTAGTAGTTATAAAGTCATTTTGATCTAAATAGGTACAGGCATTTTGTTTCCAAAGTATAGTAATAATAGTTAAGGTCTTTGCACATATTTTTAACCAAAATTAAATACTGTACAACTGTTGTGGCTATTCTGAACTACTGTATATGACTTGCAAGATTGGATGCCTGCTGCATCCTTCAAGTGGAATCTTTTTGCCTTCCAAGTGTTTCTAAATTAATCAATATCTGTGTACTACAGTATATATATCCTGTTCCACCTATTGTACCACCATTCTTGTATCCATATCTTGCAGGTCCCATAGTACATAAGAAGACAATCAGCCTCATGTACCCCAATGTAGCAGTGGATGAGTTTGGTAATGAAGGCACCTGGACCATGGTCTACAACCAGGGCTTTGAGATCAAAGTCTCTGGCAGGTCATACTATGCCTTCTCCTTGTATGAAAAGGTTAGATGGAAATTATAATATGCAGTATTGTAAAGTAGGGTACCTAAGTACATATTGCAAATAAAACAGGCCACAATATTTCCTCACTTATTTAATATTCTGTCCCTCTTTATTTCCCACTTTCTTACTCTACCTCTTTGGCCATCTTCCATACAACCTCCCTCTCCATTCCTTCCTTTTATTCCTCCTTACCTTTTCTTTGCCTTGCTTTCCCCTTTCTTCTCTCCCTTTTTCTTCCTCCTTCCATCTTTCCCTTTCCTTTTCTTCATACACAAACAGTTGTTTAAACATTCAACATTGTTTCAGAGCGGGAAAACAGTGATATCTCTCTGCGACAAGACAATGGTTGGCTGGTCCAGAGACATCACAGTCAGAAATTGGGCCTGTTATCGGGCACAGAAAAAGACCCTAGTTACCCCGAAAAACCACACTCTCAGCTACATGCTTCAGGTTAGTGCTCTCATGAAGTGAATTGACATTATTAATAGGTATACTAGCAGCTCCATCAGTTCCATCATGAGAAGGTTCTGGCAGAAAAAAGTACTAGTAGTTCGCACTATTATTCTAAATCTTCCTATATAAAGCAGATAATTTTTTTTAAAATAATTATTATGGTTATGGGGACCACACAAGAGGAATAGGGTATGCCATCAACCACTATTGGGCTAGTGCCTCCTAAGCTGCCACCATAGATGAGCTGCATTACTGTATTTTAAAAGGCTTGCTCATACTGAATTATCCAGACTGATATTAAGCTGTGAATGCTTGTTTGATTATTATGCATAGAGGAATACACTACCACAAAGAGCTTCTACTTGGTCATAATGTAGTGGTTAGCTTTTCACAAAACTTAAAGTAATTGTTGTTTATCCTTCACAAATGATTAGTCGTGAGGTCACGATTGCTTTGTAGATGCGTTAAGAGCACTACTATTAATATTAAAAATGGTTAAATGTTAGTTAGCATTTCATCAAACATTTGAACCTTATTTTGAAGTTTGTACAATGTATAGTTTATAATAAGTCTCATTGGACGTGTCAGCAGATGGGTCTATGAAAGATGAGGTGAATCATAGAATTGATGAGGGGAAAAGGGTGAGTGGTGCACTTAGGTCTGTGGAGACAAAGAACTTTGTCATTGGAGGCAAAGAGGGGAATGTATGAGAGTATAGTTTTACCAACGCTCTTATATGGGTGTGAAGCATGGGTGATGAATGTTGCAGCGAGAAGGCTGGAGGCAGTGGAGATGTCATGTCTGAGGGCAATGTGTGGTGTGAATATAATGCAGAGAATTCATAGTTGGAAGTTAGGAGGAGTGCGGGATTACCAAAACTGTTGTCCAGATGAGGCTGAGGAAGGGTTGTTGAGGTGGTTCGGACATGTAGAGAGAAATGGAGCGAAACAGAGTGACTTCAAGAGTGTATCAGTCTGTAGTGGAAGGAAGGCGGGGTAAGGGGTCGGCCTAGGAAAGGTGGAGGGAGGGGGTAAAGGAGTGTTTTGTGTGCGAGGGGCTTGACTTCCAGCAGGCATCATGAGTGTGTTTGATAGGAGTGAGTGGAGACAAATGGTTTTTAATACTTGACAATGCTGTTGGAGTGTGAGCAAAGTAACATTTATGAGGAATCAGGGAAACCAGCAGTCCGGACTTGAGTCCTGGAGATGGGAAGTACAGTGCCTGCACTCTGAAGGAGGGGTGTTAATGTTGCAGTTTAAAAACTGTAGTTGTAAAGCACCCTTCTGGCAAGACAGTGATGGAGTGAATGATGGGAAAGTATTTCTTTTTCGGGCCACTCCCTGCCTTGGGTGGGAATCGGCCAGTGTGATAATAAATAATAAAAAAAAATAAGTCTCATTGTTGCATTTGTGATTGTTAATAACCAGTTTATACAGAAGTCACCTTAGATTTTTTTTAGCAATATATAATCATATATATATATATAAAAATAATATATCATATATATATATTATATATATATAATATATATAAATATATATAATATTATATATATATAATATATATATATATATAATATATATATATATATATATATATATATATATATATATATATATATATATATGGCACAGTATTCGTCAAAAGCCTTCTTTGGGGCAAAATAATCAGCGTGGTAAAAAGAAAACAATCTCATTGCTCAATCTAAATTTTTCTGCAAGATTTTAGTATTTTCTTTATTCTTCTTTGCAAAGGGTTTCTTGTATCCAAAAACTATATTGTAATTTCTTCTCTCAATGAAAGGGCTCTAGATCAAAGGAATTGGGCCTATTCTCTCCCTCCTTGGATTGAACGCAATTACCTCCCATTCCCTCAGGCACTATATGATGCCTAAGGCTTTAGCACTTTTCCTCTCCCTTGAATAATAATTCATGATAAGTCTGTTTATATAATTGAAAAATATTTTGGGGAGTATGCACAATTAACCAAAGAGAGAAAAGAGCTTTCTTTTACATGAGTGACAAGCAGTTGTAATGGTCTAGGAAAGGTGGTGGTGGGGCAAACCTTTATATAATAGTAGTGTAAATTTAGTTCCTTTGTATATTAGTGTACATTTAGTTAAGTCCAATAGTTAGTGATGCATCATACCAGTTGGTTGCTCGGAAATAGCCAGGACCCAGGCACTGGAAATCAGTCTCTAGAAAATTAAATACACTCTTCATTTTGTTTTTGGCAGGAGGATGGATTGTATAAGTACAATAAAGCCTTTATCCAGAGTATTAATGCCAAGCAAAGTAAATGGTGGGCTGGTGTTTATCCAGAATACGAGCTGATGACTATGATGGATCTCCTGAGGAGAGCTGGTGGCAGAGCGTATGTATAGTTTTCCAGTGTTCAGTTATTTTTAGTTCTGTGTAGGACAACAGGATTGATGTGGACACTCAAATAGATAAGAGTAAGCTAAAGTAAAATATGTTTTCTTAAGTGCATAAGTTAAATAACAACATTAGACATAAGAACAAAAGATGCATATCATTACCCTAGTAGGCACAGTGACCTGAAGGAAATATTTCCTCAGTAGTAGTCTAGAAGGGCACAGATTTTGTAGCTCATCGTTGACTCTTCTAACTACAACCTTCCCATTGCACATTGAGAGTATATGCACTTTACTGTCCAAGTTTTCAAAATGCTGTCCAGCTTGTTTTCCAGACTTCATACCTATTACCTTGTTTACACTCCAGTAGTATGTTAAATTCTATAGATGATCCATCTTTCTTATGATCTAACACATGTACTCACATTTGTGTTAAAAGTCCAAACCTTTACCAGTCTTCACATCATCTTTCATGCCTTCCAGCTCTTCCTCGTATGTGATCTACACTTTCCACCTCTTCCTCGGATGCTGCTTACAACTCCCATCCACCCAAAATATTTTCCTCATAGGGACTCTTAAGGGAGAGTTTGAGCAAGCATTTGTGAGCACGTTAAATCAAAGTGAGTAGGGACAAGTGTGAGTAGTGTAACAAATGAAGGAATCTGGAGTAACAGGTTAGTGAGACCCTAGTTATGGAAGTGGGAATGTGAGCAGGGTAGCATCAGTGGAGTTTACCTGGAGAGGGTTTTGGGGGTCAATGCCCCTGTGGCCCAGTCTGAGACCAGGGCTCATGGTAGATCAGGGTCTGATCAACCACGCTGTTACTGTTGGCCGCACTCAAGCTGATGTACGAACCACGGGCCGGTTGGTCAGGTACTGACTTTAGGTGCCTGTCCAGTGCCTTCTTGAAGACAGCCAGGGGTCTATTGGTAATACCCACTATGTATGTTGGGAGGCAATTGAACAATCTTGGGCCCCGGACACTTGTTGTGTTGTCTCGGTGTACTCGTGGCGCCTCTGCTTTTCATCAGGGGAATGTTGCATCTCCTGCTGAGTCTTTTGCTTTCATAGGGAGTGATTTTTGTGTGCAGGTTTGGTATCAATCTCTCCAGGACCTTCCAAGTGTATATTATCATGCATCTCTCTCACCTGCGTTCGAGGGAATACAATTAAGGACCTTCAACTGTTCCCAGTAGTTTAGGTGCCTTATCGTACTTGTGTGTGCCGTGAGAGTTCTTTGTACACTCTCCAGGTCTGCAATGTCACCAGCCTTGAAGGGGGGCCATTATTGCACAGCCGTATTCCAGCCTAGAGAGCACAAGCGATTTGAAGAGAATCATCATGGGCTTGGCGTCCCTAGTTTTGAGGGTCCTCATTATCCATCCTATTATTTTCCTAGCTGATGAGGTAGATACATTGTTGTGGTCTTTGAAGGTGAGATCCTCTGACATTATCACTCCCAGGTCCTTCACATTACTTTTCTGCTCTATTGTATGGTTAGAATTTGTCGTATACCCTGACACATTTTTAATTTCTTCAAGTTTCCCATATCTGAGTAGTTGAAATTTCTCCTCGTTGAACTTCATATTGTTTTGAGTGGCACATTCGAAAATTTGGTTGATATCTGCTTGGAGTCTCTCAGTGTCTTCGATGGAGGTCACTGCCATGGTAATCCGGGTGTCATCTGCAGAGGAAGACACGGAGCTATGGCTTACATCTCTCTGTCAGGAATGAGGATGAGGACTAGAATGGGAGCAAGTACTGTGCCTTGTGGAACAGAGCTTTTTACCGTGGCTGCCTGGGACTTTACTTTGTTTACTATTACTCTTTGTGTTCTGTTTGTCAGGAAGTTGTAGATCCATCTACCAACTTTTCCCATTATTCCTTTATTATGCATTTTGTGCACTATTACACCATGGTCACACTTATCAGAAGCTTTTGCAAAGTCTGTGTATACTACATCTGTATTTTGTTTATCCTCTACATCATCCAGGACCTTGTCATAGTGGTTCAGTAGCTGGGACAGGCAGGAGTGACCTGCTTTAAACCTGTGTTGCCCTGGGTTGTGGAATTGATGAGTATCTAGGTGGTTGGCTATCTTGCTTCTTAGAACCCTCTCAAAGATTTTTATGATATGGGATGTTAGTGCTATCGGTCTGTAGTTCTTTGCAATTGCTTTACTGCCACCTTTGTGGAGTGGGGCTATGTCTGTTGTTTTTAGTGTGTGTGGGATGACCCCTGTGTCCATGCTCCCTCTCTATAAAATGCTGAAGGCACGTGATAAGGGCTACTTGCAATTCTTCACGAACATGGAGTTCCACGAGTCTGGGCCTGGGGTAGAGTGCATGGGCATGTCATTAATTGCCTCTTCAAAGTCTTGTGGAGTCAGAATAATATCCGAGATTTTAAGGATGACCAAATTTTGGGTTTCGTTCATAAAGAATTCATTTGGATTGTTGACCCTTAGTCTGGGCAGTGGCTTGCTGAACACTGCATCATATTGGGACTTTAGTATCTCACTCATTTCTTGGCTATCATCTGTGTATGTCCCATCCCGCCTAAGCAGGGGCCCAATACTGGATGTTGTTTTTTCCTTAGATTTGGCATAAGAGAAGAAGTATTTTGGGTTTTTTCAATTTCCTTTATGGCTTAGTTCTTCCTGTGATTCTGGTCTCCTATAAGATTCCTTCAGCTTAAGTTCGATATTTGCAATTTCATTGGCTAGTGCCTCCCTTCGTATTTCAGATATATTGGCCCCACTCAGCAGCTCTGTGACTCTCTTTCAAGTTTATATCTTCTCTTTCTTTTTCTTAATGGAATGTGTCTTGAGCAGATCTCAAAAACCACAGAATTCATTTTTTCAAGGCAAATGTCCAGATCCGTGTTTAGGATATCTTCCCAGCTTGTTTCATTTAGGACATGGTTTACTTGGTCCCGTTGTATGTTTTTGTTATTGAAATTGAGTTTTGTGAAGAGACATTCATGACTGCTCACATTTTGCTGGTTCGGAGCCCTGTGCATACATGTCTGTACCTCTTATTATGTTGTGATCTGAGTGTATTATCTTTGATACAGTTATATTACGTATCAGATCGTCATTGTTAGTGAAGATGAGGTCCAGTGTATTTTGTAGTCTTGTAGGCTCTACTATTTGCTGGTTTAAGGTGAATTTAGCGAGATTTAATAGTTCATGTATGTGTGAATTTTCATCAGAGCTGCCTCCTGGGATGATCTCTGCTAAAATATTGTTTGCTATACTCCTTCGAGACCTGAGTTATGGAGGTGGGAATTATGGTGCCTGCACTCTGGAGGACATGTGTAAATGATGTGGTTCATTGGGTTATTTGAATTGTGATGCACCTCATAAAACACAACTTGGGAATGAGTGATGGTGAATGTACTTCCCTTTTAGGGAGACCCTACCTTGGTGAAAAACAGTTTAGAAAAAATAATGGAATAGGCTTTAATACTTTATATTTTTTCACTTAATTTAGTTTTTACACACTTCAATAAAGGATTTGGTGTTGCCTTGATCCTGTCCATTATTCTATTCTCATAGCTTTTTTTTTATTTCCTTAACTTAATATAGTACATTATTATTATTAAAATCATGGGGGAGTTTACCTGGAGAGGGTTTCGGGGGTCAGCGCCCCCACGGCTCAGTCTGAGACCAGGCCTTGTGGTAGATCAGGGTCTGATCAACCAGGCTGTTACTGCTGGCCACACGCAAATTGACGTATGAACCACAGCCCAGTTGGTTAGGTACCGACTTTAGGTGCCTGCCCAGTGCCTTCTTGAAGACACTCAGGGGTCTATTGGTAATCCCTCTTATGTATGCTGGGAGGCAGTTGAACAGTCTTGGGCCCCGGACACTTAGCTTTATATACAGTGTTCATTTCTGGCATGTTTGAATCTAGCAAGTTTCTGGGTTATCTCATTTCTTATGTTGGTTCAAAGTACAGCTTTTTCTGTCTTTACATGGCTGTCCAACTTGTTAAATAATTCTTTAGTTTTAGGCCTTTTTTTTAGGGGGGGGGGAGTTGAATGGTTTAATACCATGTTACAGTGCAGAAATCTTCATACATCTTGCTTTTATCTCTCTTAATATTTTTATTATATGCTCCTCTAAATTACTGCTTTAGATTATCATGCTTTCCTTTTTCATAATTTAATTGTTCTTTTTGTGTGCTTTTCTTTTTATTTCACAAGTCATATTTAGCAGCGTGTGATAATAGTCATCAAATACCTCTTAGGTTTTGCCTGGCTGGAGAGTAAAAAATTATTTAAAATTCTTACCGTTGAAGACAGACTCCAGTAGCAATGTGGTCCAGTGAAGCAACTTTTTTGGGGCAAATGCAGTGAGGGGCATAGAGGGGTATAGACGGATTTCATGAGTCATTTATTAGGAATACTCCAGAATGAGGCAAATCAGACTTGGTTGCTACCCTATGAATTTAGATGTTTTTTTTTTTTTTTTTTTTTTTTTTCAACAAGTCAGCCGTCTCCCACCGAGGCAGGGTGACCCAAAAAAGAAAGAAAATCCCCAAAAAGAAAATACTTTCATCATCATTCAACACTTTCACCACACTCGCACATTATCACTGTTTTTGCAGAGGTGCTCAGAATACAACAGTCTTAGAAGCATTACACATATAAAGATACAAAGTACACTTTCCTCAACTGAATATCCCAAACCCTCCTTTAAAGTGCAGGCATTGTACTTCCCATTTCGGGACGCAAGTCCGACATATTGAAAATAACCGGTTTCCCTAATCCTTCACTAAATATTACCCTGCTCATCACTCCAACAGATCGTCATCTCCAAGTACCATTCGTCTCCATTCCTTTTCTAATCTAAATCGCTCACGCACGCTTTTTGCTGGAAGTCAAGCCCTTACCACTAAAACCTCCTTTCAACACCTCTCTCTCCAACCCTTTCGAGGACGTAAACCCTTTACCGCCTTCCTTCCCCTATAGATTTAATGCTTTCCATGTCATTTACTGTGATCCATTCTTCATAATGACCAAAACCGCTAACAACCTCATGGCTTTACTGAAATACTCCTTTATTAACATACCACACCTTTTAGATGTATTGAAAATAATTGAACTCTGGCACTGAGGGAGACTACCACCACTGCAGTTGTGGGCAGGATACTTTCTGCCCTAGAGGCTATCTAGAGCAAAGAGAACCAGGTAGCCCTGTGGTTAAAATGTTTGTCTATGCCCATGTGAAGACCCCCTTCCCCAACATTCCTCAGCCGAGACACCCAGCCATCTAGCACAACAGTGCCTCAATGACCTTTAGTGAGTGGAGTCAACAATCCACACAGAGGTCCTACATTGGTGGCAGCTTTTGATCTCTGCTGCCAGTGTTAGAAGGCAGTCCTGTTTGCTTCTTTTCTAAGGGCATTCATGGTTACTGCCTCAAGGGGACTGTATGGTGTATGTGAAGAAAACCTTCAGTATACGCTCCTCCTCTTTCTCTTTTACACAGGGTTTGACAGGGTTGGGATAAGGATCCCTAACTTTATTGACAAGCTAAGAGCTGTTACCTACATTAGCTCATTTGAAGGCATTTTTATTGTTATGAAACATACAAGTAGGGAACAAGATGAAATTGGAGCCATCTGTGGGCCAGCATTTTCATTTGATCAGCTGACTTTCTCGTTGATATCATTATGTTGTACGAACATGTTCCAGACTCTAGTCATCCTGGGGATAAATGATCTCAGATGAAGTGATGTTCTGGAAAAGGTTACACTCTGCTGCTTTCTACCCATTTTGTGGTATAGAAGCTTGTTTCTTGTTGTCCTTGAAGTGGAGCCAAGTGTGGTATTTGACAGTGTTGGCCTTGTACATAACAGTAAGGCCATCCACATCCCTCCTGTGTTGAAGGCTCTGCTGAAATGACAGCTCTGTCCAGATCTATTTCTCTCTCCTCTCTTTATTCCTCTCTCCTCTCTTTCCTCTCTTTCTCTCTTTTTCATTCTTCTCTTTTTCTTTACTCAATTCTCCACCAAGACAAGATGACACTCACATCAGAGCTATTTTTTCAGGACATAGATATCATAATTGAGTTTTCCTCAAAATCATGTTGCTACCACAGCTTTATAGCCCCAAATATATCCAGGCCCTTCATATATAACACATAATTGTAAATTTCTTGTGACCATGCAGGTCGTCAATGACGAGTAGAGCTCGTACAGCCCCAGCTACCTTCTATACCCGCCTGCGTGATGCTGGAATGCCAGCTGCTTGGAACTGGCGTAATGTGTCTGGCATCAACTATGTTTCTCCAATTAGGTATCCCAGTGTTGCTTTATTGCACTCATCCTAAGATAACTCTTATTAAATATAATATTCAGTATCTGTATGATTGTGATAGTATGCATGTATTTGTGAACTTTGGAACAGTTGTCTGGAAACATGGATGTGCACATTTGCTTGTACTGTATACTATAGTAATTGCACCAGTTTTGAATTGCAAGAAAATTTTTTTTTTTTTTTTTTTTAATTTAGTTATTTATAAGATTTAACACTTAAGTACCTATATAGAGCATAATTTTTGTTGATATTATAAGAAATCTAGGCACTAAAACAATTTTATTATATGCAATTAAAATATCCTTTAACCCTTTCAGGGTCACCAGGCCCTCTCCCAGACTTGTTCTCAGGGTTGCCAAAATTAAAAAAAAAAAAAAATTTTCTTATGAAAAGACAAAGAATCTTTTCCTGGTCACAATGACACAAAAAGTATGAAATTTCATGGAAAACTTACGGAATTATGCTCTCGCGAAGTTAGCGGTCTCGAAGATGTTTATGCATCGGAGATTTTGCCCACTTTGAGCCCTATTTTTGGCCAATTCCAGTGTACTAGTCGACAAAAATCATAACTTTCGCTAGAACTACATTTTTTTCTATTGAATGAGTACAAGAAACCACCCATTTACCGATTTCAACTATTCAATAAAGTGGTCAGACTTTAGCAATTTTGTCAATTTCACACAAATTTCAAAAGATGCCAATTTCCAAATAGGGTCCAGAATAAACAAGAAAAACATTCCTTGCACTAAAATAACATTTCCTCTGTTCATTAATCACATCCCCAGGCCCCTCTTACATTTCTTTTGCTTTCCACTTTGAATTTTTGTTCTCACAAAAAATAGAAGATTTACTGTTATGGTATAAATAATATCAGTGCACTTGTGAAAGAATATCAGATTCACCAGTTGATGTGTATTGGACGCGTGGCATGATTTGTTTACTTTTAAACTTTGGCAAAAATCGAACTGTTTCTGCTACTTTGAGCTTAATTTCTAGGTACTTTTCATTGTGAAACCAATCAAAATCATCTCAATTTCTGTAATGTGTCTTCCATTCTATAAAATAAGACCAGGAAAACTAGAATACAACCATAAATACCATACGAAAATAGTGCAAAGTCGCCGTTTTAAACCAAAAACACGGTCAAAGTTTTTTTTCTCATTATGCACTGTGTGCTGCAGGATTTTTTTTATACTGCGCACACTGGCCACATAGACCCATTCTTTCATATGTAGGCCTACCAGGGCACTATAATTTATGCGTACTAGTACGTCAAAAACCCTGGCGTGTAAGCCGTACTAGTACATCGGATACCCTGAAAGGGTTAAGGGACATTATTAAGGCAACTAACTGTGATGAGTTATAGCATAAACCATACCTAATTGTTTTTTCAGTATCCCTTATACTATATATACAGTAGGGCCCCACTTATACAGCAGGTTAGGTTCTGGGCTACCGCCACAAAGCAGACATCGCTGGAAAGCAGAATGCCATTTTCCACTTTTAAATGTATATAAATGCCATATAACAAGTTTATACTAACATAAAATAAGTTAGCAATAGAACTAGGCATTAAAAAACAATAAAAAGTAAAATACACACACTACACTCCTTATTTACCTCAAAATATTTGTAGTGTTAATGTAGGGCAAATGGTGAGTAGCATTTATTGTAAGAAGTCAGGTGTAGTAGGTATGGTATCCCTCCTGGCCACCCCACCCACACATAATATACTATGATGCTTAAATTGCCCTAGAGTGATAAAATATATATTCAGTACACTCATTACTTACCTTAAAATATTTGTAGTCTTAATGTAGGATGAGAGGTGAATAAGTGAGATAAAAACAAACAAGAGAGAGAGAGAGAACCAGTAAGAGGACAGAGCCGCAGACTACTGTGTAAACAAACGCGTCTGGTTATGGTTGATACACGTTCATACAAGTTGTCTCCACAGTGGTACAGTAGAATAAATGAAGACCAACACTTACATTCCCATGTAACAATTTTTAGAAGGAACGATGCTCTGGCAACATTCCCATTCTCATACAACACACCATTTTTAGTGAATATTATGATTATTATTATCATCATATTAAAAAAGAAGCACTAAACCCACAAGGGTTGTGAATAGTGAATTAGTGTGCACTACCTAGCAGAGTTTACTGCCAGAGGGGAATCATAGGCCTGTGTGCCGTGTGCAAAATAATAATAATAGAACTTTTCTTTGTCAGAGGAAAGAAAGTCTCCCTGATAACATTGTGTATACACAGTGTATAGTGTATACTACAGTGGCTCCCTAGTATATAGATGATAAAGGCTAAAGTGTCATTTGAAAACAGGTGAATTTGTAAATGAAGTGATAAGCCTATAGAGGCAGGTGCCAGAAGTCGCCAGAAACTTACCACACTGGTCAGCTGTTTTAATCATCTTCCTGGCCTGCTAGTGTACTCGCATATAATCTAGGGATACCAGTGAATAGCAGAATACAGTGTTGTAGTAGCAACTAACCAGTATTATAAAGGTACTTAGTGGAGTGGAGTGACTTTCATTAGTTTCTTTTTTCTTGAAATACCAGACGTATACTATGAATTTCATATAACCTGTAGTTACCAGCGGTCGCAATATACACAACGAGAAGCAATTATTACTACAGAAAAAGCGTCTTTCCTCCAAAAATACCACCAGTCAACTATAGTGATAATATAGCATTTGTTGTGGTGGAGACGGGAAAAAAAAAACAGAAAAGCTAGATACAGTGATCTATAAACAAGGGTTGAGGCTCGAGCGTTCGTCATTGTAGGAGCTGCCAGCAATCACCGGGTCTTCAACACGCAAGTTATACTTTTGTATCAATCTTATCACATATTACTTGGTTAGATAATTTCCAGTAGATCCTTCATGTATTAGCCCACATCACCGACCAGTATGTTTTAAATAAGTGACCCACTGATCAGATCAGACTGGTCCGAACCCTCGACTGGTCCGAACCCTTGACCGGTTTCAAATGGTTTCGTTGGACAATAAAGCAGACTGTAAACGGATGGGGTTGTAGGCGCCTTTATCAAACACAAACAATAAATATAAATCAGGAACGTACACCGGTAAGCTGTCCTAATATAAAAGTACAGTTAGAAATAGAAATACAAATAGCTAGAGCTTCATTTAAGGAGGTTATTAATAGAGTATTCAAGAGGTTGCTAGTAGAATTACAGTAAATCAACCATTCAAATCATTATGAAGCTCTGTGTAGTCTGCAGTCAATCAAACAAACGGGCTTCCACATGGATAAATTGTCATTTTCGTGGAAATTGGTGTCACGCCCCTTGTGCAGATAGCCAAGAACTAGCTACAAGCAGTATTAAAACAGGGAAGTGTTTTTGGGTATGTCCAAATGAGATAAATCTGTGGACTAAAATCACAAGGGTATTAAAAGAGGATAACATCAAAGCTGCTTTCATAGACAACCTGGAAGCTTTCTACAACAGATGGGAACATAAAAAGTCTGGGCTGAATGGTACTGCCCTTGATACTGGCCATGTAGTCAGAAACTGTAAGGCTGGAGGTGATGTTCTGGTAGTCAGTAAATGTGGGGCTGATAGTGCTGTCCTGGGAGACAGTAATGGTGAAGCTGGAGGTGCTGTCCTGGGAGACAGTAATGGTGAAGCTGGAGGTGCTGTCCTGGGAGACAGTAATGGTGAAGCTGGAGGTGCTGTCCTGGGAGACAGTAATGGTGAAGCTGGAGATTTTGTCCAGGTAGTCGGGAATTATACGCAGGAAGGAATGCATATAAATGACCTCATAGGGGACAGGAGCCATAGTGGGGAAACAAGTGTAGTCAAAGATAAGATAAAACCAATATTGCAAACTAGAAATACCACAGGAAATAGCAAACAAGAGGACTCCACTAGCAATAGTGAGGATATATTACCAAAAACAACTGGTGGGAGCTCCATTGTTAGTGCTAGGGAGGATAGGAATAAGACAGGTAAACATGCACCAACAGGGAATATAGTCACAGAAACCCAAGGCAAACGGAAACCAAGCCTGTGCACATACTATACACTTGGTATCTGCAGACATGGGAAATCTGGAAAAACAGATGGGACGTGCAACTATGACCACCCTAGAAAATGCCGTGCCCATATGACAACAGGAAAATGCAAACTCCCTTCCTGTAAGCTTTTTCACTCTGAAATGTGTACCTCTTCAGTACAGGAAAGACTGTGCTATAACTTAAATTGCCAGGCACACCATCTAAAGGGGACAAAAAGATACAAAACATCCAGGCCATGGGAAAACCTGGGTAGCCACAGCCACTCAAGAGGGAGAGGTTTTTTAGAGCCAGGAAGGAAAAAAAACTGGCAGGAAATGGCAGAAATCCTACACCAAATCCAGTCATTCCTGGAGTGGAACCACAGTCGATGGCCTCCTCTCCAAACCAACAGATACAGATACTAATGCCGGAAAAAAAATCCCCCCCAGTACCAACAATACCACCAGTCCGATGACATTCTTCTTTGCAAATATACAGGGTCTAAAGCCAGCAACAAACAACAAAATACCTTTCATCCGTGGACTGCTTGCAGAGGCAAAGGCAATGTTCGCGGCTTTCGCTGAGACCCACATAAAGGATCACTTGGACAACGAAATATGGATCCCAGGTTACAACCTATACAGATGTGACAGAGTGAACCGGCAAAAGGGGGGGAGGGGGGTTGGCCTGTACATTGCAGAGTCACTTGTTTGCACAGAACTGCTTAATGCCTCAAATGATGTAGTGGAAGTTTTAGCAGTAAAGACCGAGAACCAAAACCTAGTCATTGTGGTAGTCTACAAGCCTCCGGATGCAACATCCCAGCAATTCCAGGAACAGCTATTAAAAATTGACCACTGTCTGAAAAATCTTCCAGCTCCTGCACCCAACATCTTGCTCCTGGGGGATTTCAACTTAAGGCACCTAAAATGGAGGAATATAGCAAATAATATTGTTGCAGTAATAACACCAGGAGGCAGCTCTGATGAAAACTCACACTCACACGAGCTTTTAAATCTCTGCACAAAATTCAATTTAAACCAGCAAATAATAGAGCCTACTAGACTGGAGAATACACTAGACCTCATCTTCACTAACAGTGATGATCTGATAAGAAATGTCACCCCATATCAAAAACAATATACTCAAATCACAACATAATTGAGGTTCAGACATGTAATGCGCAGAGCCCCAGACCGACATAATGAGATTAGTCACGAGGGAGCATTCACCAAATTCAACTTCAATAACAAAAACATAAAGTGGGACCAAGTAAACCAAGTCCTAACTGAAATAAGCTGGGAAGATATACTAAGCAACACAGACCCCAACTTATGCCTAGAACAGATTAACTTGGTGGCACTCGATGTATGCACAAGGCTTATTCCTCTAAGAAAAAGGAGGAGTAGATGTAAAATAGAAAGAGACAGGCGCTCCCTTTACAGGCGATGGAAAAGAATAACAGAGCGGCTAAAAGAGGTCAATACAGTGGACCCCCGCATAACGATTACCTCCGAATGTGACCAATTATGTAAGTGTATTTATGTAAGTGCGTTTGTACGTGTATGTTTGGGGGTCTGAAATGGACTAATCTACTTCACAATATTTCTTATGGGAACAAATTCGGTCAGTACTGGCACCTGAACATACTTCTGGAGTGAAAAAATATCGTTAACCGGGGGTCCACTGTATATCTGAAATGCGTAGGGAGACACTGGTCAGAGAAATAGCAAACATCGAACTTAAGCTAAAGGAATCTTATAGGAGTCAGGAATCGCGGGAAGAACTAAAAGCCATAAATGAAATTGAAAGAAACCCAAAGTATTTCTTCTCCTATGCCAAATCAAAGTCGAGAACAACGTCCAGTATTGGGCCCTTACTTAAACAAGATGGGTCCTACACAGATGACAGCAAGGAAATGAGTGAGCTACTCAAGTCCCAATATGACTCAGTTTTTAGCAAGCCACTAACCAGACTGAGAGTCGAAGATCAAAATGAATTTTTTATGAGAGAGCCACAGAATTTGGTTAAGACAAGCCTATCTGATGTTATCCTGAAGCCAAATGACTTCGAACAGGCAATAAATGACATGCCCATGCACTCTGCCCCAGGGCCAGACTCATGGAACTCCGTGTTCATCAAGAACTGCAAGAAGCCCCTATCACGAGCCTTTACCATCCTATGGAGAGGGAGCATGGACACGGGGGTCATCCCACAGTTACTAAAAAAACAGACATAGCCCCACTCCACAAAGGGGGCAGTAAAGCAACAGCAAAGAACTACAGACTGATAGCACTAACATCCCATATTATAAAAATCTTTGAAAGGGTCCTAAGAAGCAAGATCACCACCCATCTAGAAACCCATCAGTTACACAACCCAGGGCAACATGGGTTTAGAACAGGTCGCTCCTGTCTGTCTCAACTATTGGATCACTACGACAAGGTCCTAGATGCACTAGAAGACAAAAAGAATGCAGATGTAATATATACAGACTTTGCAAAAGCCTTCGACAAGTGTGACCATGGCGTAATAGCGCACAAAATGCATGCTAAAGGAATAACAGGAAAAGTCGGTCGATGGATCTATAATTTCCTCACTAACAGAACACAGAGAGTAGTAGTCAACAGAGTAAAGTCCGAGGCAGCTACGGTGAAAAGCTCTGTTCCACAAGGGACAGTACTTGCTCCCATCTTGTTTCTCATCCTCATATCTGACATAGACAAGGATGTCAGCCACAGCACTGTGTCTTCCTTTGCAGATGACACCCGAATCTGCATGACAGTGTCTTCCATTGCAGACACTGCAAGGCTCCAGGCGGACATCAACCAAATCTTTCAGTGGGCTGCAGAAAACAATATGAAGTTCAACGATGAGAAATTTCAATTAGTCAGATATGGTAAACACGAGGAAATTAAATCTTCATCAGAGTACAAAACAAATTCTGGCCACAAAATAGAGCGAAACACCAACGTCAAAGACCTGGGAGTGATCATGTTGGAGGATCTCACCTTCAAGGACCATAACATCGTATCAATCGCATCTGCTAGAAAAATGACAGGATGGATAATGAGAACCTTCAAAACTAGGGATGCCAAGCCCATGATGACACTCTTCAGGTCACTTGTTCTATCTAGGCTGGAATATTGCTGCACACTAACAGCACCTTTCAAGGCAGGGGAAATTGCTGACCTAGAAAATGTACAGAGAACCTTCACGGCGCGCATAACGGAGATAAAACACCTCAATTACTGGGAGCGCTTGAGGTTCCTGAACCTGTATTCCCTGGAATGCAGGTGGGAGAGATACATGATTATATACACCTGGAAAATCCTAGAGGTACTAGTACCGAACTTGCATAGGAAAATCACTCACTACGAAAGCAAAAGACTTGGCAGACGATGCAACATCCCCCCCAATGAAAAGCAGGGGTGTCACTAGCACGTTAAGAGACCATACAATAAGTGTCGGGGGCCCGAGACTGTTCAACTGCCTCCCAGCATACATAAGGGGGATTACCAACAGACCCCAGGCAGTCTTCAAGCTGGCACTGGACAAGCACCTAAAGTCGGTTCCTGATCAGCCGGGCTGTGGCTCGTACGTTGGTTTGCGTGCAGCCAGCAGTAATAGCCTGGCTGAACAGGCTCTGATCCACCAGGAGGCCTGGTCACAGACCGGGCCGCGAGGGCATTGACCCCCGGAACTCTCTCCAGGTAAACTCCAGGTAATAGCTATAGAGTGAAGGCATACGAAAGAAATATTTTTCTACAGTTATCCTTAAGTAACTGGTGTTTGACTAGAGAAAACATAATTCTTCCAACACTCCTACAAACCGCTTAGTAAACAAATCTCATATTTGTCAATTTTTATACTGTGGGTGTATGTATCATGTGTATATGTTATGTAGTGTGTTTATTATATAATTTTGAAAAAAATTTCATAGACGGAATAATGGAAATGTCTGTACGTATTAATGTAATATACGACGTTTAATGCACCCAAGAGATTATTATATGGCATCAAGAGTAGAGACACAGTGTGTAAGTATATTTAGGTACAGGTACACATAAGTATATTTATCAGAGTACATATAAAATATGCAGTAACTTTAAAACACTTGAAATTTTGGAAAATTTCCAGACATAATAGAGATGTACTCAGGGAGAATGTAAACAAACTGGGTGAGGCACGCCATATTAGGAATACCGGGAGCCGTATAGCAAGTTTTGGTCATAATTTGAAATCACTGTATTAGCGGAACGCCGTAAGGCAAAACACCATAAAGCAGGGCCCTACTGTGCATGTAACTACCAGGTAATGTCACTTAATAAAATTTAGCAACTAAAGAGAAATAATCTATGTAGAATTGTAAAAATTAGTTAACATTTATACAAATTTGAGTATTTTCTCATTAATCAAAATGGTAACCAAATAATTATTAACTACAGGAACCAAGGAAATTGTGGATCATGTTATGCCTTTGCATCGATGGCTGGGCTCGAATCCCGTATCAGAATTCTCGCCAACAACACTCAGCAGCCAGTTTTCTCTCCCCAGGATATTGTGGGATGCTCACATCTCTCTCAAGGATGTGAGGGAGGGTTTCCCTTCCTCATTGCTGGCAGGTAAAAATGCACATGAAATCAAAATATTTATTATTCTTTGACAGGTATTTGCCAGTGAGAGTTCTCTTGGGAGATTCTGAAAAGCTGCTGCAAAGGTTGGTGTATGAACTTGGGAGGGTACGTAACAGAAGGAAATTAAAAATGGACATTGAAAAGACCAATGTTCAATGAAAGATTGGATATCAGATTGCAAGGAGTATGAAGGAAGTGAATGTATTTGGCAGGGAAGGTGGCATTGCCACCTTATTCATAAACTCGCCTGAGAATTGAGTTGTTGATGCCTCCCACTTTTTTTGCCTTGTACTTCTTAAAATGCATTCATAGCTTTTATTATACAATTCTCACAAGTGCAACTAATGTGACATTTTATTGTGGCAACGTTTCGCTCTCCAGGAGCTTCATCAAGCCATTACAAACAATACATGGACACGGAGGGTATGTAAAGGCTCAGAGTGAGGTGCAATACTAGTGAGGTACTATTTCGATGTTCACTAGTGGTAGTAGTAGTAGTAGTAGTGACAAAAGTTGTAGTAGTAATACAATATGGTAGAGCAATTAATTCGTACATGAGTAAAAGGATATAAAAGCTATTACTTGGGTAACTTAAAAATAGGTTGGACAAATATAGACTGGAAAGAGGTAGCTTGTCTCAGTGTTCACTCTCTGTAATGTGCTTTGTGTAGTATAACAGGAGAGACTATGTGATGGCAGGGTTTACTGTTTTCAGGAGGATTCTTGCTAAGACTTCAGAGATGGTGAAGCTGCCGTTGTTTCAAATACAATTAAATAAAACAACGGCAGCTTCACCATCTCTGAAGTCTTTGCAAGAATCCTCCTGAAAATAGTAAACCCTGCCATCACATAGTCTCTCCTGTTATACTACACAAAGCACATTACAGAGAGTGAACACTGAGACAAGCTACCTCTTTCCAGTCTATATTTGTCCAACCTATTTTTAAGTTACCCAAGTAATAGCTTTTATATCCTTTTACTCATGTACGAATTAATTGCTCTACCATATTGTATTTACTAAACTTTTGTCACTACTACTACTACTACTACTACCACTAGTGAACATCGAAATGGTACCTCACTAGTATTGCACCTCACTCTGAGCCTTTATATACCCTCTGTGTCCATGTATTGTTTGTAATGGCCTGATGAAGCTCCTGGAGAGTGAAACATTGCCACAATAAAATGTCACATTAGTTGCACTTGTGTCCTTTTACGTAACATATTGTCGGTAATTCTACCAACTTTATTATACAATTCTGTTACAACATTTTATGGTTTACAGCAGTAAGTTTTTTTTTTTTTTTTTTATCACACTGGCCGATTCCCACCAAGGCAGGGTGGCCCGAAAAAGAAAAACTTTCACCATCATTCACTCCATCACTATCTTGCCAGAAAGGTGCTTTACACTACAGTTTTTAAACTGCAACATTAACACCCCTCCTTCAGAGTGCAGGCACTGTACTTCCCATCTCCAGGACTCAAGTCCGGCCTGCTGGTTTCCCTGAACCCCTTCATAAATGTTACTTTGCTCACACTCCAACAGCACGTCAAGTATTAAAAACCATTTGTCTCCATTCACTCCTATCAAACACGCTCACGCATGCCTGCTGGAAGTCCAAGCCCCTCGCACACAAAACCTCCTTTACCCCCTCCCTCCAACCTTTCCTAGGCCGACCCCTACCCCGCCTTCCTTCCACTACAGACTGATACACCCTTGAAGTTATTCTGTTTCGCTCCATTCTCTCCACATGTCCCGAACCACCTCAACAACCCTTCCTCAGCCCTCTGGACAACAGTTTTGGTAATCCCACACCTCCTCCTAACTTCCAAACTACGGATTCTCTGCATTATATTCACACCACACATTCCTCTCAGACATGACATCTCCACTGCCTCCAGCCTTCTCCTCGCTGCAACATTCATCACCCATGCTTCACACCCATATAAGAGCGTTGGTAAAACTATACTCTCATACATTCCCCTCTTTGCCTCCAAGGACAAAGTTCTTTGTCTCCACAGACTCCTAAGTGCATCACTCACCCTTTTCCCCTCATCAATTCTATGATTCACCTCATCTTTCATAGACCCATCCGCTGACACGTCCACTCCCAAATATCTGAATACATTTTTTTTCACTCCTCATTACTCTCTCCCTCCAATCTGATATCAATCTTCATCACCTAATCTTTTTGTTATCCTCATAACCTTACTCTTTCCTGTATCACTTCAATTTTCTTCTTTTGCACACCTACCAAATTCATCCACAATCTCTGCAACTTCTCTTCAGAATTCTCCCAAGTGCACAGTTTGTCATCAGCAAAGAGCACTGTGTCAACTTTCCACTTTATGTGTGATTCTTTATCTTTTAACTCCACGCTCCTGCCAAGACCCATCGCATGTATTCTCTTACAACCCATCTATAAAGATATTAAAACAACACGGTGGACATCCACACATCCTTGTTAAGGCCTACTTTTACTGTCAAATAATTTCCCTCTTTCCTAATACTCTTACTTGAGCTCCTATCCTCGTAAAAACCTTCACTGCTTTGTCAGTAGCCTCCTTACTCTCCTACACCAGACACTGCAACATCTGCCACATTCCCCCCTTTCCACCCTGTCATACGGCCTTTCCAAATCCATAAATGCCACATAGACTCTTTAGCCTTATATGAATACTGTTTCCACTTATATGTTTCACTTGTAAACACCTGATCCACACACCCCTACCTTTTCCTAAGCCTCCTGGTTCATCTGCTATTCCAATTCTCCGTCTTACTCTTAATTCTTTCAATAATAAATCTACCCAGACACTTTGCCAGGTATACTCAACAGACTTAATCCCCCCTTAATTTTTGCACTCTCTTTTATCCCCTTTTGCCTTTATACAAAGGAACTATACATGCTCTTGCCAATCCCTAGGTACTTACCCCTTCCATAGTCAATTTATTAAATAATTATCACGAACCACTCCAAAACTATATCCCCACCTGCTTTTAACATTTCTATCTTTATCCCATCAATCCCGGCTGCCTTACCCCCTTTCATTTTACCTACTGCCTCAGTATTTGAGTTATTTGAACTAATTCAACTAATAATGTTCTTTAGAAATTTGCATTTGTAATGTATAACTGCATAGACGATTCAGTAAGTCTGAAAGGAAATACGTAATCTTGTTTCTATAATGTACAGTTACCATTACACAAATAACCCGCACATAAAAGAGAGAAGCTTACGACGACGTTTCGGTCCGACTTGGACCATTGACAAAGTCACACTGGTCCAAGTCGGACCGAATGTCGTCGTAAGATTCTCTCTTTTATAGTGGGGTTATTTGTTGTATCGTTCAGTCACGGTATGTGCCTTTTGGTTATTTATTTAAAGTTACATTCTTGTTAATACTGTATGGTCCGGTTTATCTTCTTTTATGAAAAATAAAAAGTGAAATTTAAGCCATTATATTTCTGTAAAACACTGATCCTATGTTATTCACACATTTGACATTTGTGGTAATCTCTTAAAAAATCCCTTTTGAATACCAAAAGCATACTCTACAATATTGCACTTCATTTTTTTACCACTGGCCATTTCTCACCAAAGTAGGATGACTATTATTAATTTTCTAAACTTATTTTATAGATCACTTGGTCTGTCATCCATGGCAATACAGAACCTACATGTTGCCTATCACTATTATGTGCTTGCTAAGGCAGTCCTTCTCTCCACATATTCTTGCTTCTTGGTGTATGTGGCAATTTCTTCACTCACTTCAGCAAGCACTTTGTTCTCCTTCAAATGCATAACACTTAAAGGAAATATAAATTGTGGTGGAAATCCTACCTGAGGACCACCCTCTTACTGACCTAAATGCAGGGTACAGTATTCCACAGTTTGTATGGCATTTGTTTTACTTGGTATTCTTAAACATATTGTTTGGTTCTTCAATGATTTTTCTATAAATATATAATGCATAGTAAATAGGTGTCCTCATTTATGTAAATAACAAAGTAACTATCTTCACATATTTATAGGTATGCTCAGGATGTTGGCGTAGTGTTGGAGGAGTGTTCCCCATATGAAGGAAAGGATGATGCATGTCAAACCAATAAAAGCTGTGCCCGTCATTATACTTCCTATTACCGATATGTTGGAGGTAAGACAGTAAAATATCACCTTGTATACAATATTGTTTCTGCATTTAAGAGCACACATTTCCCTGACTTGTGTAATCTAATTAAAAAAATGGCACCATTGTTTCTCCACATGATTTTTTTTTTTTTTACTACACCAAGAGTTAAAAATGCCTACCTGGGTAATTGTTAGCTCTAAGCTGAGTTTGTTGAAATTTAGAAATGTAATGGATTTTTGTTTTTCATCATGCTAACTTGCCTTACAAAAAGTCTGTAGACATGTTTAAGTTTTTATACACACTCCAGTAAAAGTGGCCTTTCTCTTTTATTACATCGGCTGTTTTCCACTTAAGCAGGGTGATCCAAAAAAAGAGTAAATGTATTTTGCATTGATTCAATAGCAGTCTTGCCAGATTTCACAATTAAGATGACTCTCTGAACATCAACATCCCCACTCCTCTGGAGTGGAGTGCAGATGCTGTATTTCCCACCTCTGACTAGTCTGGGCTAACAAGTTTTTCCTGAATCCCTTCATAAATGTTACTTTGTTCACACACCAACAGCACAGTAAACCCTAAAAACTCACTCTCATATATGCCTACTAAATGCTCAAGACCACTACTTATGACCCTTCTTCATTCTAACTTTGCTTCCTTCCAACCCTTCCTTGCATGACTCCTACACCTTTACTCTACCTTGGATGAAGTATATACCATCTTTGCCATCTTATTCTAATCCATCTTTTCTAAAGTTAGACCACCTTAATTTCCTCTGCCCTTTGAACTACATTATACAGTTTGTAGCCCCACAGTCTTTTAATTCTGTGCTCCTAGTTCCTACGCATAACATACAGATCAGCATTGCTTTCAAAATGACATCTCCACTTTGCTACATTATTATAATAATAATATCTTTATTTACTACATGTGCATGGGTTACAGGCCTAGCTGACATCAGTGACATACTACTGTATAGAAAGCCTCTTGTTATGCTGAGCATTTCGGGCACATTAGATCAGTTTTGTCCCAGGATGCAACCCACACCAGTCGACTGACACCCAGGTATCCATTTTAAACTGATGGGTGAACAGGGACAGGGACAGCAGGTGTCTTCTGGAAACATATCCCTAATGTTTTCCAGCCATACTGAAGGAGATTCGAACCCCAGACCTCAGTGTGTGAGCTGAGTGAGCTAGCGATTGAGCTACCATGCCTCACACCCATATAAGTGTTCATACCACTACACATTGTATTAATCAAATAGTGCTGAAAACCAATAAGGGTAATGACTACTCATTGTAAATACACGAGCAGTGTCAGTATCCCTGTGCAGTATGGATGAAAGTGTCTGCTTGGAGGATGAGTAGCTGTTATAGTTCTGGAAAATATCTGTGCACTCAATATTTGCTTGCTGAAGAACAACTGAACTAAGGCTGACTGTTGCCTAACATGTATTTAAGTGTGTGTCTGTAAACAGTAACAAGCTTGTGTGTGATATGCAGTTTTGCTAGTTTATCTTAAGTAGCATCAAACCACATTACATGTGCCACATCATGCTGGGTATGGAAAAGCACCCTAAGGCTAGCTGCTGTCAAGATTACTTGGCTGACTACACAGGAAATTTAAATTTTCACTGGGCTGAAGCATAAATTTTTTTGACCAGATTTGTGGGTCATGCACCTTATATAGAGGTAATGGAACTTGATGTAGAAAATTCTTATGATTATAGCAAGGAGCAGATAAAGTAGTACAGTATCAGGTATAGAATCTGAAATAGTTATCTTAATATATAGAGTAAGAAGGCTCCTCTCGTAGACTTGTAAATCACCTACGAATTCAAAGCTGAAGGCACTGTTGGGGATGGTGTACTGGAACCATTAACAATGTTTGTAAAAGCACTAACTTCAGTTTTCTGTTGTCCAAACTAGGGGAGCTTATTAAAACAAATGACCCAAGAGCTATTGAAGATATATACTTTTTTTTTTTTTTTTTTTTTTTTTTTTCTCTCTCAACAAGTCGGTTGTCTCCCACCGAGGCAGGGTGACCCAAAAAAGAAAGAAAATCCCCAAAAAGAAAATACTTTCATCATCATTCAACACTTTCACCACACTCACACATTATCACTGCTTTTGCAGAGGTGCCCAGAATACAACAGTTTAGAAGCATATACGTATAAAGATACACAACATATCCCTCCAAACTGCCAATATCCCAAACCACTCCTTTAAAGTGCAGGCATTGTACTTCCCATTTCCAGGACTCAAGTCCGACTATATGAAAATAACCGGTTTCCCTGAATCCCTTCACTAAATATTACCCTGCTCACACTCCAACAGATCGTCAGGTCCCAAGTATCATTCGTCTCCATTCACTCCTATCTAACACGCTCATGCACGCTTGCTGGAAGTCCAAGCCCCTCGCCCACAAAACCTCCTTTACCCCCTCTTTCCAACCCTTTCGAGGACGACCCCTACCCCTCTTTCCTTCCCCTATAGATTTATATGCTTTCCATGTCATTCTACTTTGATCCATTCTCTTCTAAATGACCAAACCACCTCAACAACCCCTATTCTGTCCCTCTGACTAATGCTTTTATTAACTCCACACCTTCTCCTAATTTCCACACTCCGAATTTTCTGCATAATATTTACACCACACATTGCCCTTAGACAGGACATCTCCACTGCCTCCAACCGTCTTCTCGCTGCTGCATTTATCACCCAAGCTTCACATCCATATAAGAGTGTTGGTACTACTATACTTTCATACATTCCCTTCTTTGCCTCCATAGATAACGTTTTTTTGACTCCACATATACCTCAACGCACCACTCACCTTTTTTCCCTCATCAATTCTATGATTAACCTCATCCTTCATAAATCCATCCGCCGACACGTCAACTCCCAAGTATCTGAAAACATTCACTTCTTCCGTACTCCTCCTCCCCAATTTGATATCCAATTTTTCTTTATCTAAATCATTTGATACCCTCATCACCTTACTCTTTTCTATGTTCACTTTCAACTTTCTACCTTACACAAATTCTCAAACTCATCCACTAACCTTTGCAATTTTTCTTTAGAATCTCCATAAGCACAGTATCATCAGCAAAAAGTAACTCTGTCAATTCCCATTTTGAATTGATTCCCCATAATTTAATCCTACCCCTCTCCCAAACACCCTAGCATTTACTTCTTTTACAACCCCATCTATAAATATATTAAACAACCATGGTGACATTACACATCCCTGTCTAAGACCTACTTTTACCAGGAAGTATCTCCCTCTCTTCTACACACCCTAACCTGAGCCTCACTATCCTCATAAAAGCTCTTTACAGCATTTAGTAACTTACCACCTATTCCATAAACTTGCAACATCTGCCACATTGCTCCTCTATCCACTCTATCATATGCCTTTTCTAAATCCATAAATGCAATAAAAACTTCCCTACCTTTATCTAAATACTGTTCACATATATGCTTCAATGTAAACACTTGATCTACACATCCCCTACCCACTCTGAAGCCTCCTTGCTCATCCGCAATTCTACATTCTGTCTTGCCTCTAATTCTTTCAATTATAACCCTACCGTATACTTTTCCTGGTATACTCAGTAAACTTATTCCTCTATAATTTTTACAATCTCTTTTGTCCCCTTTCCCTTTATATAAAGGGACTATACATGCTCTCTGCAAATCCCTAGGTACCTTCCCCTCTTTCATACATTATTATAAACAAAAGTACCAACCACTCCAACACTATATCCCCCCCTGCTTTTAACATTTCTGTCATGATCCCATCAGTTCCAGCTGCTTTACCCCCTTTCATTCTACGTAATGGCCTCACGTACCTCCACCACACTTACATTCTGCTCTTTCTTCACTCCTAAAAGATGGTATACCTTCCTGGCCAGTGCATGAAATTACCACCTCCCTTTCTTCCTCAACATTTAAAAGTTCCTCAAAATATTCTCGCCATCTACCTAATACCTCCCTCTCCCCATCTACTAACTCCCCTACTCTGTTTTTAACGGACAAATCCATACTTTCCCTAGGCTTTCTTAACTTGTTTAACTCACTCCAAAATTTTTTCTTATTTTCATTAAAATTTCTTGACAGTGCCTCTCCCACTCTTTCATCTGCTCTCCTTTTGCACTCTCTCACCATTCTCTTCACCTTTCTTTTACTCTCCATATACTCCATTAGTAATAAATAGACATACTACCATCAAGGGCTGTAGGGGTCATACAGCACCTGGGGATTGGGAGGCAATCAGATCTGGTCAGAGAATGGGTACATACCTTGAGCCTCTCACCAGTGTCAGAGCACCCTCCCTAAAGGATAATAGCTTTAAAAATACTAGTAATATGTATTATAGGTTCAAGTGGTATCAGTGGACTTTGGAAATCCAGTAGTAAACAGTTACAAAATGTTTTTATCATATTGAATTTCCAATGAGCAATCAAGACATACCATTCTACTAGATTTTTTTTTTTATTGACCTTAAATTCCCACAGGTTACTTTGGTGGTTGTAATGAAGAGGAGATGAAGATAGCTCTGGTGAAGGGTGGTCCTCTTCTGGTTGGATTTGAAGTATACGATGATTTTCTTCATTACAAGGGTGGTATTTACCACCACACTGGACTCTATGACAAGTTTAATCCACTAGAGGTAAGTTTATATTAGGAGTTTGAGGTACAGAATACCAATTAGGGTAATTTTTCCCATCCTTCTAATGCAGTGCTTTGGAAGCAAAACTTTCAAATGCATTGGTAGCATGAACCTCAGTAGTTCTTGCATGTGTGTGTATATGCAATACAGTTGCAAACAGACAGTCTCAATTTTCCATCCTTACCCATCTTACCAAAGCTCTGGTCATAAGAAGAAGAAGAGTCTCAATAATGGAAAGCAAGCTATGTGATGTTGCAAAACCTGCAACTGATAAGTTGAGGGGAAAGTTCTGAGGCAAAGTAGTGTGTGTTAACATTAGCTCATTCCATCCCTCTAGTGGCTTGTGTGTATTTCATTCGCTAAAGGGTAAGCAGGATAGAGAAATGAACATAATGGTAAATCCTACAAATTAGACTGCTGACTTTTATACTTTATATTTAACTAAAAAAATGAAATTTCATATTTGTTATTTGTGGATTTTTTACTGTGTTAACATATATAACAATCAGCTAAACTCTCAATGTTAGAATATTTTTTTAAGAAACCAGTGAGTGTTTTTCTTTTCATTGTACCATTCCATCTTTTCCATTCTTATCCTACTGTATTATATATTTTCTTAAGGTAGTCCTAATTCTTTTTATACACGTTTTGTAGTGCAGGCAACTAACAAATGCTTCACTTGTTACAACAGTCAAACCAACATGTAAATTTCTTTGAGAAATGTATGAGGTAATTAGAGAGTTTGCCCAATCTAGATATTTTTTTTTTAATCATCAGTCTTCATAAATGCCATTCTAACCACTACTGCCATCTTTTGTCAAAGCAGGGTGACCTAAAGAAAACACATCATTCATTCAGTTTATCTTTGCAGAAGTGTGCTGAAATCACAGTTCAGATTATCCTCCAGCTGAAACTTGATTGCCTTCCACCCTTTAGTGCTTCCCATGAATATATCTAGTTGTAGGTACAGTTAGAGTAAGAGGTAGATGGGACAAAAGAAAAATGGCAACAGCAAGTAAGAGAGAGGTGAAAGTGTATAAACTAAGGGAGGAGGAAGTTAGGGTGAGATATAAGCAACTATTGGCAGAAAGGTGGGCTAGTGCAAGTATGAGTAGTGAGGGGGGGGGAGTTGAAGAGGGTTGGAATAGTTTTAAAAAAATGCGTATTAAATGTGGTGGCAAAGTTTGTTGGCTATAGGAGGGATGGGTGCAGAGGAAAGAGGATTATTGGTAGAATGATGATAGAGAGTATGATAAAAGAAAATGGTAGCCTAATATAGGTTTTTACCAAACAAGTGTTATAAGAAGAACAGAGTATATGGCGAGTAAAAGAAGGTAGAGTAAAAGAAAGATAAAGAGTGGAGAGGGGTGCAAAAGGAAGCATATGATAGTGGGTGGAAGCACTGTCAAGAAATTTTGATGAAAATAAGAAAAAATTTTGGAGTGACATAAAAAAGTTAAGAAAGCCTAGGGAACAAATTGATTTGTCAGTTAAAAACAGAGTAAGGGAAGTTAGTAGATGGTTGCTGGAGTTAATGGGTAGATGGCAGGAATATTTTAGGGAACTTTTGAGTGTCGATGGAGAAAGGGAAGCGGTAATTTCATGCACTGGCTAGGGAGGTATAACATCTTTTAGGAGTGAAAGAAGAGCAGGATGTGTGTGGGGGGGAGGTGTATGAGCATTTTAACATAGAAAGAAAGGGGGTAAAGGGCAGCTGAACTGACCGGGACAAAGACAAGAAATGTTAAAGCAAGAGGGGGTATAGTGGTTGGAGTGGCTGGTATTTTTTAATAAATGTATGAAACACTTGATCTACACATCCCCTGCCCACTCAAAAGCCTCCTTACTCATCTGCAATCCTACTCTCTGTCTTGTCTCTAATTCTTTCAATAATAACCCTACCGTACATTTTTCCTGGAACTCGTAAACTTATTTCCCTATAATTTTGGTCCCCTTTTTCTTATATATAAAGGAACTATACATGCTCTCTTCCAATCCCTAGGTACCTTCCCCTCTTTCATACATTTATTAACAAAAAACCAACCACTCAACACTATATCCCCCCCTGCTTTTAAATATTTTTCTGTCATTGATCCGTCACTGGACTTTAAAGGAGGGGTTTGGGATATTGGCAGTTTGGAGGGGTTATATCTTAATATATGCTTCTAAACTGTTGTATTCCTGGTGCCTCTGCAAGACAGTGATTATGTGCAAGTGTGGTGATAGTGTTGAATGATGAAAGTATTTTCTTTTTGGGGATTTTCTTTCTTTTTGGACATCCACTGCCTCGGTGTGAGACGGCCCAACTTATGAAAAAAAAAAATGTATGAAAGAGGGTAAAGGTACCTAGGGATTGCAGAGAGCATGTATAGTTTTCCTTTATATAATGGTAAGGAGGACAAAAGAGATTGTAAAATTATAGGGGAATAAGTTTACTGAGTAATACCAGGAAAAGTGGACGGTAGGTTATAATTGAAAAAAGAATTAGAGGTAAAACAGAATGTAGGATTGCTGTGGAGGCAAGGTTGTTAAAGTAGGTAGGGGAAGTGTAGATCATAATATGTAACAGTATTTAGATAAAGGTAGGAAGAATTTCCATTGCATTTAATGGATTTAGAAAAGCGTATGATGGTGGATAGGGAGGGGAGCAAAATGATTTTTGGGGGGTGGGCAGGTACAGTGTTCCTTAAGTTAAACTGCTCCCAACTTGAATCATTATGTAATGCATTTTGATGTGTATTTTTTTGGGGTCTGAAGCAGACTAATTCTAAAGTTTACATTATTACCTTAAGGGAACAAATCATTCGTATTTGCATTCGAACCAGCATTCTGGAAAGAAAAAAGTTTGAAAGTTCCGGGGACGCACTGTATATGATAGGTATAAGTTACTGAATGCTGTGAAGTTTTTTTTTATGAGGATAGTGGGGCTCAGGTTAGGGTGTGTAGGAGAGAGGGACATTACTTCCTGGAAAAGTAGGGTCTTAGAACAGGGAATGTTAATGTCACCAATGGTTGTGAAACATCTTTACAACCCCATCTATAAGAAAATTCAAGGGGGTGGGATTAAATTATGGGGAATCAAATACAAAAGGGAGTTGACAGTACTTACTTTTGCTGATGATACTGTGCATATGGGAAGATTCTAAAGAAAAGTTGCAAAGGTATGTGGGCAAGAGTCTGGGAGGGTGTGTAAAGGAATGAAAGTTGAAAAGGAACATATATAAGAGTAAGGTGATGAGGAATCAAATGATTTAGATAAAGAAAAATTTGATATCACATTGGAGAGGGAGTATGGAAGAAGTGAATGTTTTCAGATATTTGGGAGTTGACTTTGTCAGCGGATAGGTTTATGAAGATGAGTTAACCATATAATTGATGAAAGGAAAAAAAGGCGAGTGTGCGTTGATGTAACAGTGGAGAAAAAAAAAATAATCACGGAGCAACGAAGGGAATGTACGAAAGTGAAGAGTACCAACACTATGTGGGTGTGAAGCCTTTGGGTTGCAAATACTGGGCAGCGAGGAGAGGTTGAAGGCATTGTGGAGATGTCCGTGTCTAATGGGCAGTGTGTGGTGTAAATATTATGCAGAGAATTCGGAGTGTGGAAATTAGGTGGTGGTTTTGTCATTTAAGAGTGTAAAAATCTGTAGGGAGGAAGGCAGGGTAGGGTCATCCTCGAAAACGTTGGAGGGAGGGGGTAAAAGGAGATTTGTGGATGAGGGGGCTTGACTTTCCAGCAAGCTGTGTTAGGAGTAAATGGAGACGAATGGTTTTGTACTGACGAGCTTTTGATTGTGAGCGTGGGTAATATTGTGAAAGGGATACAGGGAAAACCCAGTTGGGGAGCTGGGCATGAGTCCTGGAAATAGGAAGTATAATGTCTGCACTTTAAAGGAGGGGTTTTTGGGTTATTTAACAGTTTGGATGGGACTTATGAACTGTCCATAAACGAGTGCCTCTGCAAAGAGTTATGAATTAGTGAGGTTGAAATTGTTGAATGATGATGAAATGTTTTCTTTTTGGGGTCACCCAGCCTTGATGGAGATAACTGAAGTTAAAAAAAAAAAATGAGCAGGATTATATGAAATTCTAGATGGATGACTTAAAAAAAGAGAAATTTAATTAAATATTAAATTATATAAAACTAAATTATATATAAATAAATATATTTTATAATATAAATATATATATATATATATATATGAAATAAATATAAATATATATATATATATATATAAATAAATTATATAAAAAATATTATATATATATATATATATATATATATATTAAAGTAAAACTGGACAATTAGCAACAACTCATTTAAATAAATCCTTCTAAAATTTTCTCATATATGTTTAAAGATACATTTTTTTTTCATTAATGTTAATGTAAAAACTTTAAATTTTGCTCCAGACGACTCTTAGAAACTTACTAACTTATATAACAAGAACAATTTATTTTATCCTAATACAATTAAATATATTTTAGATTTGTTTACAGTAAATTTAATACTGAACGAATCACAGTGAAATATATTTTTTTTCGTTTAGGGTTCAGAATGATTTTGGCGAAATTATTGCATACACAAATTTTCACTTGTCTTATAAGGCAAGATGAGCCGTTGCTATTTAAGCCAGATCGCAAGTTCCTGCCTATTTTGCACGATAACAATATATTTATATATATATAAATACATTGGACCGCCCGCATAGCGAACGCCTTGCATAGCGAAGCAATCCCATAGCGAACGCTTTGTTTCGCTAAAATTTTGCCACCGCATAGTGTAAAAAATACCGCTCAGCGACCTTCGTACCGAGACGCGTCCCAATGTGCGCCCTCACCATCCTCACTTGTGCCGCCCGTCCCTTGTTTACCAGCTAGCCACCGCGGTAACATTCAGGCAAATACACTCGGAATATTTCCGTATTATTCAGTGTTTTCGGTTGCTGTTTGTGAAAATAAGTGACCTGGGCCCCAAGAAAGCTTCTATGCCAACCCTACACCTCAAAGGGTAAGAATACCCATTTGAAATGAAGAAAGGATCATGATAAGTATGAAAGTGGATACCTATCACCGACCTGGTCAGGTTGTACAAGAAACGCAAAATCAACCATCGCTTCTATTGTGGGCAAGAAAACGCAATCAAGGGAAGCTGTTGTTGCCAAAGGATAACTGTTGTTATCGAAACAAAGATCGCAAGAGATGGAAGATGTTGAGAGACTCTTAATTGGTATTGGATAAAGAAAAAACGAGCTAGCAGGAGATAGCGTCTCTCAAGCGATCATATGTGAAAAGGCTAGGAAGTTGCATGACGATTTAATTTAAAAAAATGCCTCAACTAGTGATGATGTAGTGAATTTAAGGCACAGCAAAGGTTGGTTTTGAGAGATTTAAGAAGCGTAGTGGCATCCATAGTGGATACGGCAGGTGAGGCTTCCAGTTCGACCACAAAGCGGCCTGAAAAATAGTGCATGAATTCAAGGATACATAGAAACTGTAAGGACTGGAAGCCATGAACAAGGTGTTTAATGTGATGAAAACAAGCCTGTTCTGAAGAAAATGTCCAAGCATGACCTTACATACTCAGGGGAAAGCACTCCCAGACATAGCCCATGAAGACAGGCTTACTTATTGATGTGTCCAATGCTAGTGTGATTGCAAAGTTAAGCCTATATTAGTGTATCCACTCTGAAACTCCCCAGAGCGTTCAGGCAAAAGAAATCCTCAAGGATAATTTGTGTGTGCTGTGGAGGGCAAACATAAGGCATGGGTCACTAGGGAAATTTTTCTATAACTTGGTTACACCATGGCATTTGCCCCCATGTTGAAAGATTACCTAACTGAAAAGAAATTAGACCTTTAAGTGCCTCCTGGTGTTAGACAATGACCCCTGACAGCCTACAGACTGGCAGAGCAACTTTATGGTGACATGAGCTTCATTAAGGTGAAGTTTTTGCCTCCTAATACCACTCCTCTCCTGCAGCCCATGGACCAAGCAGTCATTTCCAACTTCAAGAAACTGTACACAAAACTCTGTTTTCAAGTGCTTTGAAGGACCACCGACACTATATTGACTCTAAAAGAGTTTTGGAAGGATCACTTAAATTATCCCAGTTGTGTAAACCTTATAGGTAAGGCTTGGGAGGGAGTGACTAAGAGAACCTTGAACTCTGCTTGGAAGAAACTGTGGGCAGAATGTGTAGACAAAAGGGATTTTTGAAGGGTTTGAGGCTAACCCTGAGAGAGTAGTATACCAGGTTTGAGGAATCAATTGTGGAGATTAGGGGAAGTCCTTTGGGGATGAGGTAGTTAGGGAGGATGTGGAAAGAGGTTGGTGGAGAGGACAATGAAGAACTAACCACTGATGAGCTGATAGATCAACTTCAAGAGCAAGAGGCCAGACCTGGGGAAAACTGGTTCAAAGGAGGGGAGAGAGAAATTGAAGGAATTGCCTACATCAAAGATTAAGAGAAATGAGTGGAAAAATGGCTTGAAAGTGCAGAACCTTTTTTTGATGAAAATCACAAAACCCTCACACAGCTATTGCAAGCCGTGCTGGTGACTGTTTACAATGACACTGTTTGTGAACCACTTTAGACAAACATAAAGGAACGAGAGAACAGACCACTATGGACAGATATGTTTTGTGCGAAAGAAGTCCAGTGACTCTGGAAGCTGGTCCTATTGGCATTGTTAAAAGAAGAAGGAAGTAACCCCAAGAAAAGGACTTGCTACCTGGCCAAGTCCTAATGGGAAGGGGATTCCCCCTTCTAAACACTCACACTCCTCCTCCCCCTTCCTCCCATTCCCATCAATCAGTCACCAGAATCTTCAATAAAAGTAAGTGCATGTAATTTTGCATGCCTTTTACTACTATAGTTTTGTGTGTACTAAAATTAACATTTTTTTTTTGTGGTAAACAAATTTTTTTTCATATCTTTTGGTGTCTTGCACGGATTAATTTTATTTCCATTATTTCTTATGGGGAAAATTAATTCGCATAGCGAACATTTCGCATAACGACCAGCCCTCTTGCACGGATTAAGTTCGCTATGCGGGGGTCCACTGTATATATAAAAAAGCCTGAGCTATTGTGCTTACCACAGAGCCCTAAGTGTGTTTTTTTTTTTTTTTTATTCATGTTAAGCACTAAACACATTTGGGTCATTCAGCACAATCCTTGAAAATATGTGCAATAAATCAAAGTGCAGTGCCCCACTGTACCTTTGCCTCAAACTAATCCTGCTAACTGATTTCTCTGAATCCTTTCATAAATATTGCCATGCTCACACTTCAGTAGAACATCAAATTCCAGAATCCACTTTGCTTCACTTGTTTACTGAATTCTGCAGAACCCTGCCTTTTAAGACTCTCCTCACATTCTCAATGCATCCTTTTCTCAGGCATCCTGTACATTGCCTTCCTTCCACCAAATATTTATGTACAATCCTTACCAAGCTCTTGCTCTATTCTCTATAAATATCAGACCCATATATGCAACATCACTACTTCCACACCATCTATCTAACTACTAAAATTATTTTGGGCACATTATTACCTCCCCACAATGTAATATTCATAGCCCATTTCTCGCATTCATACAAAATTGGCATCACTGTACTCTAGCACATTTATAGACCTATCTGCTGACAGTCACTTCTGAATATGTAGGTACATTTATGTCCTCCAGTCACCCTTCTCCCAATCTGACATACAGGAATGTTAATGTACTTCAAATAATGTAGAATGCATAAAAAGAAACAAAGTAAAAAAAAATTTAGGTATTTTTTAAACCAGGCATTTACGAGTTTTTTTTTTTTGTGTCTAGCTAACAAACCATGCAGTTTTTGTTAGTGGGATATGGAGTCAGATGAAACTGAAAAAAGTTCTGGATTGTAAAGAATTCATGGGGTGAAGCCTGGGGTGAAGATGGTTACTTCAGGATTCAGCGAGGTGTTGATGAATGTGGTATAGAGTCCATGGCTGTTGAAGTGGTTCCAATTCCTTAACTCTGAGATAACAATATAACTAGAAATAAGATACTAATGATCAACAGGAACAGTTAAACGCTATACTAGTTAAAATGCTTACCATTCAAAAATAAAAGGGAGGAAAGCATACCAATATCAAGGCAAATATGCAATGAAAAATGATGCATATGCAAAAAAGTGGAAAAGAGAAGAATAGTTATTACAAGATCAAAGTGGTACTTAGTTTTGGAATGGTAAAATTCAGTCTTATTAGTATTATTAACGGAATGGATAGAAAATATAAGGATGGAAGGTAAAAATTAGGACATACAGTGGAACCTCGGGTTACGAGTTTAATCCATTCTGTGACCTTGCTCATATCCTGATCTGCTCGTATGCAGAGTCAATTTTCCTCATTTTAGTTAATTGAAATGCCATTAATCCGTTCCAGCGGAATTCCTGCTCACTTTGTGCACATAAAATGAGGTAAACGAGTGTGTGATTGACTTGACTGCCTGAATTGATTGAATGACTTAACTGACTGAATGTCTTAGACTTTTTCACTGAAGAGGACCCTGAAACGATGTCTAGAGCATCCGATGCCGTACCGTCAGTTGTATAATGTACTGCAGGGTAAAATAAAACAGAAATCCATTACAGAATTTATGCTTACTCCAGTTCAACTATCGACTTCAGCACCAGAACCTCTACCATCCACCTCAGCCCAGTAGGGCCACAGCATAACTCTCCACTCTCTTCACAATCATCGACAAACACCAGCACCCACAATTTAAGGTAAGAAAGTCTATTATTTCTGTTGCAGTTAGTCTTAAGCATTAAAAACAGCATTATACATCATGACAATGAACTACAATTATATATTTACTTTTATTTTTGTAAGATCTGGAGTCCAAAAAAAAAAAAAGTTGTTTGAGGGGGAAGCTCGCATCCTGAACTTTTGCTCTTATCCAGAGATGAAAAATCGATAGAGCTACTGCTCGTATCCTGAGAAAACTCATAGTGGGGCACTCGTAAGTTGAGATTCCACTGTATTAAAAAGGGACCAGTCATTGATAAAGCAGAGATAATAGGAGTAATAAATGAAATGCTAAAAAAAAATTTAAAGCCACTTACTATTTATATTTGAAGCTTCATTTAATTTTTAAGCACCATTGTTGACCATGCCAACAAATTTTTGTGCACATTTTCACTGGTCAATATTTTAAGGAAAGTTTCACTTGAAAGACTAATTTTTTAAGTGATAGTGTACTGTACTATCCTTGTTAAATACCTGAATAATCCAAATATCATTTCTGTATGACTTTTTTTTTTTTTTATAACATTGACAGTAGCCACCCTTCTTAATGGCACAAATCTTGTTTTAAGATCACTCCTTAACTATTCACGGTACAATTCTGTACAAGGAAGTATTAAGAAAGATATGAGAAGTCTAATTACAGGGTGGTGAAGATGTCTCAAATAGTTAATAAAACTAAGTTGTTGTATTTGATACAGATGGATACCAGAAGTTATTTTATTTTTGACCAAAAGACTGATGTGAGTTTAACATTGTGGATATACTGCATTTTAATTTTTCTCTGTACTGTAGATTAGTACATTTTTCTAGAGCAAGTACATTTGCAGAGCTTACCTTTATAAACTATTGTTTAGTATATGTTACAATAAAGTATTATATATTTGGCTTCTGCTCTTTTTCCATTACCTAATTAGATGGAAATAACAGGAAACAGTTTTTTTTATTAATCCTTATCTGTATACTTTTATATAAAAGTTACTTTAGAAATTAATTCATCCATTTCTTTTAATCACTACCCTACTTCTCACTTTCACTATTCACTGAATGTAGAGGTACCTACCAGGAAAGTATATAAGTACACTATATGAAAAACAGAATTTAAATGATTTGGTGGATAAAGGATGCCTTAAATTTTTCACTTATCGTAACACCTTAAATGACAGTAAAAGATACAAGAAAATCCAATTATTATTTTTTATTATTATTATTATCACACTGGCCGATTCCCACCAAGGCAGGGTGGCCCGAAAAAGAAAAACTTTCACCATCATTCACTCCATCACTGTCTTGCCAGAAGGGTGCTTTACACTACAGTATTTAAACTGCAACATTAACACCCTCCTTCAGAGTGCAGGCACTGTAACATCCATCTCCATGACACAAGTCCGGCCTGCCGGTTTCCCCTGAACTCCCTTTCAAAAATGTTACTTTGCTCACACTTCCAACAGTCACGTCAACGTATTAAAAACCATTTGTCTCCATTTCACATCCTAATCAAACACACTCATGCATACCTGCTTGAAGTCCAAGCCCTCGCACACAAAACCTCCTTACCCCCTCTCCTCCTAACCCTTTTCCTAGCCAACGCCTACCCACCCCCCTGCCTTCCTTCCACTACAGACTGATAACTCTTGAAGTCATTCTGTTTCGCTCCAATCTCTCTACATGTCCAACCACCTCAACAACCCTTCCCAGCCCTCCTGGACAACAGTTGTTGGTAATCCCCACCACCTCCTAACTTCCAAACTACGAATTCTCTGCATTATATTCACACCACACATTGCACTCAGACAAGGACATCTCCCACTGCCTCCAGCCTTCTCCTCGCTGCTACATTCCATCTCCCATGCTTCAACACCCATATAAGAGCGTTGGTAAAACTATACTCTCATACATTCCCCTCTTTGCCTCCAAGGACAAAGTTTTTTGTCTCCACAGAACTCCTAAGTGCACCACACTCACTCATTTTCCCTCATCAATTCTATGAATCACCACTCTTTCATAGACCACCTCATGCCGCGACTGCAACAAGGACGTCACGTCCCAAATATCTGAATACATTCACCTCCTCCATACTCTCTCCCTCCAATCTGATATTCAATCTTATTATTATAATCAAAAAGAAGCGCTAAGCCACAAGGACTATACAGCAAGAAAATCCAAACTACTGTGCCTAGTGATGAGTTGGGGATTCTTAACACCGCAGTCTTTGGCCAGGCCTCCTAGTTGACAGTTTGATTATTCAAGCTGTTAGGACTTTCTGCATTCTCGTGCCTGTTGCTTCTCAACACAGGTACTTCATAATTATTACATCTGTGGACCTGCTTGGGTTATTCAGTGCTGTACAGAAAGAATAAAGGAAAAGAGAAGTTTGGAAGGAATAAAGGTATACAAGGCATAGCTGGTGTATAAATCTGGGTCAGTGAAGAAACAAAATGTTCCACCAAAGTTGAGAGAAGAATATTCACTAAGAATACTGACATTCTAAGGTTATTAGCATAAGAATCAAGAGCCATCATCCCACAGCTATGTATTTAATCACATTATTTAAGGGAATGAACAGAAGCAACACAGTGACAAGCGGAATAAGGTGCCTCCCCGATCATACGCTGATGATACACCTCTCCACATGACGGAGTTCCATTCCAAGACCTGCGTTGTTAAATGAATTCGTCGCTAAGTGAGAGCAAACTATAAATTGTAGCGAGTTTTGTCTAGCCATCTTTGATATTGTTTTAATGTCACCTTTTCACCATTTATATCATTTCTGGTATATTTTTAAATGTTTATTCACTAGTGTACTGTACATTGAAATAAACAAAATAGAGGAAATACCGGTCAAAGAGCCTGTTGCAAGTCAGAGGCATCGGTAAATAAGTACGTTGTTAAGCGAGGCGAGGCTGTATATTCACACAGAAAATATTGGGAGTGGAAATGAACGTTAGTTACATCAGAGAAGATGGGAAGAGTTTAATGGGTGGTACAAGAAATGCTGCTGAATTCAGGCTACTACGTTGTGCTGACCAAATTGCAATTAACCCGTAAACGGTCCAAACGTATATATACGTTTTTTCAACATTTGAAAGTATGTAAAAAAAGTAGTAGTACTTTTTGTTTTTCTACATTTGAAAATGTGTAAAAAAAACTTTGATCTACTTTTGTAGCTATACACGTGTGAATGTAGATCTGCTTGGACTGTTCACGGGTTAAAGGTTAGGGTGGACACTATTATTTTTATCTTTACAAAGTTTTTTTTTTTTTTTTTTTTCAACAAGTCGACCGTCTCCCCCAGGCCGGTGACCCAAAAAGAAAGAAATCCCCAAAAAGAAAATACTTTGCAATCATCATTCAACACTTTCACGCTCACTAACACATAATCACTGTTTTGCAGAGTGCTCAAGAACACAACAGTTTAGGAAGCATATACTACGTATAAAGATACACAACATATCCTCCAAACTTGCTAATATCATCTCAACCGCTCCTTTAGAGTGCAGGCATTGTACTTCCCATTAACAGGACTCAAGTCCGGCTATATAAAAATAACTGGTTTCCCTGAATCCCTTCTACTAAATATAAACCTGCTCACACCCCAACGCGATCATCAGTCCCTAAAAACCATATGTCTCCATTCACGAGTCCTTTGAACACTCTCATGCACGACAGCTGGAAGTCCAAGCCCCTCGCCACAAAACCTCCCTACCCCTTCCTTCCAACCTTGTTTCTAGGACGACCCCTACACCTAGCCTTCCTTCTACCTACAGATTAAATGCTCTCCATTTCATTCTACTTTGATTCCATTTCACTCTAAATGACCAAACCGCACCTCAACAACCCCTCTTCAGTCCTCACTGACTAATACCTTTTATTAACTCCACACGCTCCTAATTTCCACACTCCGAATTTTCTGGCATAATATTTAACACCACATAATTGCCGCTTAAACATGACATCTCCACTGCCTCCAACCGCCTCCACGCGGCTGCATTCACAATCCAAGCTTCACACTCCCATAAAAGATGTGTTGTTACTACGTATACTTCATACATTCCACGTCTTTGCCTCCATAGATAATGTTTTTGACTCCAAATATACCTCACTGCAAACGAACCACTACACCCCATTGTTTCCCGTCATCAGTTCTATGATTAACCTCACCTTCATAAATCCATTATCCGCCGACACGTCACTCCCAGAATCTGAAATACATTTTCACTTCTTCCATAACTCCTTCCCAATTTGATATCAAATTTTTCTTTATCTAAATCATTTATACCCTCATCACCTCTCTCTTTCTACGTTCACTATCAACCTTTACACACACACCCAAACTCATCCACAAACCTTTTGCAATTTTTCTTTAGAAACTCTCCATAAAGCACAAGTATCACAGGCTAAAAGTAACTGTCAATATTCCCATTTTGTATTTGATTCCCCAAAATTTAATTCCACCCCTCTACCAAACACCCTAGCATTTACTTCTTTTACAACCCCATCTATAAATGTATAAAGCAAAACCATGGTGACATTATACACACCCTGTCCTAAGAAGACCTACTATCTAACCGGAATATCTCTTCTCTCCTACACACCCATCCCAGAGCCTATCCTCATAAAAACTCTTAAAGCATTTAGTTAAGCTTACCACCTATACCATATACGCTAAAAGGTTCCTCTGTGCTGGTGAGGACAGTGCTGTATTGACACTTTTGGGGTTTAGCACATATTTATGATTATAATATGCTGCTGAGGAGCTCTTCATCCAAAGAAGTGGACCTGTTTTCCCCCTGGATCAAATTTGGTTGTTTCCTATTTCCCCCCCCAGGTGCTGTTATACCTTTGATATACCTCTGAAGGCTTTCAAGATTTTTCTTCTCACAGCCTGATTCTGGGCCAGGTTTGTCCGGCATGACATTGACAGGTTTAGTATTTCCCTGTTAATGTAAAAATAATAAAAGTGAAAAAAATAATTATAATGATAGGATAAGTAAAAGCAATGGAGTAGCCAAGAAAAACAAAAGGATACAAGAGTATGAAAATAAATTGAAAGTAATATCTGAATGAGGAAGAGAGGTCATATTTAAATTCACAAAGGAAAAGTACAATATAATGAGAATAGAAGGTAGCATTGTAAAAAACTGACAGCAGCTGATTTTTGCACAAGACGCAAAGATGGTGAATAATGAGATGACCGCAATTTTCTTCTTTTAATTGTGCAGACCCATTTCTAAAGTAACCCTGATAAAGCTGATCATGGTCATTTTGGAGGACCTAGAATTTATGCATTAAGTATGCAATGGATGGCAGTTTCCCAGTTGGCATAAGTATATGTGATCAGCAGTTTAAGGGTTAAAGCTGCTGCCGAACTAGGTAGTGATATTGAAGCCAAGGATTTCAAACATTTATATATAATTCAACAAATGAAACTGCACAAAATTAGTGATAACAATCGCAGTACAATTTTTTCTGGTGGCTTGGCTGTTATAATATTTTGGGTATTGATAAGCGACATCATTCTTTTGAAAATATATTGTAATTATTATGCCACTTCACAAGTCAATACTTAAGGGGTTTTGTTATTTAGCATGAAAAGAAACAATGAATATCCAAAAGACCTGTCTAATTTGTTAAAAACTAAATAATAAACAAGATTTAGGCAAAATAGAAAAATGTTCTATTATGAAGTCCCAATTATTTTGATGGATTTTGCAGGTTGCTCCCACCTGAAAGAAAGAACATCTGCATTAACTGTATGTTTTATTACACCACTAAAATAATTATGGTCCACACACAGGTACCAACAGAAAATCAACATGAAATTGCAAGTAATATATATATATATATATATATATATATTTTTTTTTTTCAACAAGTCGGCCGTCTCCCACCGAGGCAGGGTGACCCAAAAAGAAAGAAAATCCCCACAAAGTACAATACTTTCATCATCAATCAACACTTTCAACTCTCACTCACACATAATCACTGTTTTTCATGACTTAGGTGCTCAGCACACAACAGTTTAGAAGCATATACGTAAAAAGATACACAACATATCCCTCTAAAAAACTGGCTAATATCCGCCAAACCCCTCCTTTAGAGTGCAGGCATTGTACTTCCCCATTTCCAGGACTCAAGTCCGGCTATATAAAACAAACAGTGCATGAGCATGTTCGATAGGAGTGAATGGAGACGAATTTAATTTGGGACCTGACTTATCTGTTGGAGTGGTGAGCAGGGAATATTAAGTGAAGTAATAAGGTAAGTTACTAAATGCTGTAAGAGCTTTTATGAAGGATATGAGTCTCAGTTAAGGTGTGGTGTAGAAGAGAGGGAGAATACTTACCGGTAAAAGTAGGTCCTTAGACAGGGATGTGTAATGTCACCATGGTTGTTTAATATATGTTAATAGATGGTTGTAAATGAAGTAAAGCTAGGTGTTCGGGAGAGGTGGGATTAAATTATGGGGAATCAAAATCAAATGGGAATAGCAGTTACTTTTTGCTGATGATACTGTGCTTATGGGAGATTCTAAAAAAAATTGGGCAAAGGTTAGTGATGAATTGAGAATGTGTGTAAAGGTAGAAAAGTTGAAAGTGAACAAAGAAAAGAGTAAGGTGATGAGGGTATCAAATATTTAGATAAAGAATAATTGGGATATCAAATTGGGGAGGAGGAGTTATGGAAGAAGTGAATGTTTTCAATACTTGGTAGCTTACGTGTCGGCGATGATTTATGAAGGATTGAGGTTAATCCTAGAACTGATGATGGAAAAAAGGGAGTGGTGCGTTGAAGGGTAAATGTGGAGTCAAAAAACGTTTATTCTATTGAGGCAAAGAAGGGAATGTTATGAAAGTATAGTTACCAACACTCATATATGGATTGTGAAAAAGGCCTTGGAGGAAAATGCCAGGCAGCGAGGAGACGGTTGGAGGCAGTGGAGATGTTCCCTGTCTAAGGGCAATGTGTGGTGTAGAATTATTAAGCAGAAAATTCGAGTGAGGAATTAGGAGAAGGTGTGGAGTTAATAAAGCATTAGTCAGAGGGCAGAAGAGGTTGTTGAGTGGTTTGTGGGTCATGTTAGAGAGAATGGTTCAAAGTAAATGACATGGAAAGCATCTAAATCTCTAGGGAAAGGAAGGGAAGGGTAGGGGTCGTCCACGAAAAGGGTTGGAAAGAGGGGGTAAAGGAGGTTTAGGTGGGTGAGGGGCCTTGGACTTCCAGCAATCGTGCATGACGTGTTAGATAGGAGTGCATGAGACGAATGATACTTGGGACCTGACGATCTGTTGGAGTGTGAGCAGGGTAATATTATGTGAAGAGGATTCAGGAAACCGTTAATTTTCAAATAGTCGGACCTGAGTCCCTGGAAAATATGGGAAAGTCAATGCCTGCACTTAAAAGGAGGGGTTTGGGATATTGGCATTTGGAGGGATATGTTGTGTATCTCTATACGTATATGCTTCTAAACTGTTATATTCTGAGCACCTCTGCAAAAGCAGTGATAATGTGTGAGTGTGGTGAAAGTGTTGAATGATGATGAAAGTATTTTCTTTTTGGGGATTTTCTTATCTTTTTTTGAGGTCACCCTGCCTCGTGTGAGACGACCGACTTGTTGAAGAAAAAAAAAAAAAAAATATATATGTAGTTAAAAAATATAGATTGTGTGACAAAATTTTGAGAGTATAATAAAGTGATCTAGGAGTTTAAAAAATGTATTACTAAAAAAATTATCACTAGACCATAAATGGAACAAGTCTATGTGATGTTTGCAAAACCTGCCAACTGATAATTTGAGGGGAAAGATCTGAGGCAAAGTAGTGTGGTGTTAACATTAGGATCATTCCATCCCTCTATTGGCTTGTTTTGTATTTCATTCGCAAAAGGGTAAGCAGGATAGAGAAATGAACATAAGGTAAATCCATAACAAATTATAACTGCTGACTTTTATACTTATAATTTAACTAAAAAAATGAAATTTCATATTTGATATTTGTGGATTTTTTACTGTGTACCAAAATAACAATCAGCTAAACTCTCCAATGTTAGAAATTTTTTTAAGAAACAGTGAGTTTTTTCTTTTCATTGTAACAATTCCATCTTTTCCATTCTTATCCTACTGTATTATATATGTTTCTTAAGGTAGTCCCCTAATTCTATTATACACGTTTTGTAGTGCAGGCAACTAACAAATGCTCACTTGTTAAAACATCAAACCAACATGTAAATTTCTTTGAGAAATGTATGAGGTAATTAGAGAGTTTGCCCAATCTAGATATTTTTTTTTTAATCATCAGTCTTCATAAATGCCATTCTAACCACTACTACTGCCATCTTTTGTCAAAGCAGGGTGACCTAAAGAAAACACATCATTCATTCTGTTTATTCTTTCAGAAGTGGTGGCTGATACACAGTTCAGATTATCCCTCCACTGAAACTTGATTGCCCTTCCACCCTTTAGTGCTTCCCATGAATTATATCTATTGTAGGTACAAGTTAGAGTACGAGGTAGATGGACTAAAAGAAAAATGGCAACAGCAAGTAAGAGAGAGGTGAAAGTGTAATAAAAAACTAGGGAGGAGGAGTTAGGGTGAGATAATAAGCAACTATTGGCAGAAAGGTGGGCTAGTGCAAGTATGAGTAGTGAGGGGGGGGGTGGGGGGGGATTTGAAGAGGGTTGGAATAGTTTTAAAAAAATGCGTATTAAATGTGGTGGCAAAGTTTGTTGGCTATAGGAGGGATGGGTGCAGAGGAAAGAGGATTATTGGTAGAATGATGATAGAGAGTATGATAAAAGAAAATGGTAGCCTAATATAGGTTTTTACCAAACAAGTGTTATAAGAAGAACAGAGTATATGGCGAGTAAAAGAAGGTAGAGTAAAAGAAAGATGAAGAGAGTGGTGAGAGGGTGCAAAAGGAGAGCAGATGATAGTGGGTGGAAGCACTGTCAAGAAATTTTGATGAAAATAAGAAAAAATTTTGGAGTGACATAAAAAAGTTAAGAAAGCCTAGGGAACAAATTGATTTGTCAGTTAAAAACAGAGTAGGGAAGTTAGTAGATGGTTGCTGGAGTTAATGGGTAGATGGCAGGAATATTTTAGGGAACTTTTGAGTGTCGATGGAGAAAGGGAAGCGGTAATTTCATGCACTGGCTAGGGAGGTATAACATCTTTTAGGAGTGAAAGAAGAGCAGGATGTGTGTGGGGGGGAGGTGTATGAGGCATTTTAACATAGAAAGAAAGGGGGTAAAGGGCAGCTGAACTGACCGGGACAAAGACAAGAAATGTTAAAGCAAGAGGGGGTATAGTGGTTGGAGTGGCTGGTATTTTTTAATAAATGTATGAAACACCCTTGATCTACACATCCCCTGCCCACTCAAAAGCCTCCTTACTCATCTGCAATCCTACTCTCTGTCTTGTCTCTAATTCTTTCAATAATAACCCTACCGTACATTTTTCCTGGTATACTCGGTAAACTTATTTCCCTATAATTTTGTCCCCTTTTCCTTTATATAAAGGAACTATACATGCTCTCTTCCAATCCCTAGGTACCTTCCCCTCTTTCATACATTTATTAACAAAAATACCAACCACTCCAACACTATATCCCCCCCTGCTTTTAACATTTCTGTCATGATCCTGTCACTGGACTTTAAAGGAGGGGTTTGGGATATTGGCAGTTTGGAGGGGTATATCTTTATATATGCTTCTAAACTGTTGTATCTGGGTGCCTCTGCAAAGACAGTGATTATGTGCAAGTGTGGTGATAGTGTTGAATGATGAAAGTATTTTCTTTTTGGGGATTTTCTTTCTTTTTGGGTCATCCTGCCTCGGTGTGAGACGGCCCAACTTGTTAAAAAAAAAAATGTATGAAAGAGGGGAAGGTACCTAGGGATTGGCAGAGAGCATGTATAGTTCCTTTATATAATGGGAAGGAGGACAAAAGAGATTGTAAAAATTATAGGGGAATAAGTTTACTGAGTATACCAGGAAAAGTGGACGGTAGGTTATAATTGAAAAAAGAATTAGAGGTAAAACAGAATGTAGTCGAACACTGGGGGAATAACATAGATAAACATTTCCTTTCATTGCCTTCACTTATATTAGCAATTCATGCCCCTTGGGGGTTTAGTGCTTATTAAATTTTTAAAATGCAATAATAATTTGTAGAGATCTTTCCTTTTTAAAATTTACAGAAAATGGAAGGTTGGTTTTATTTTTGTACTGTCCCACGTGGAAAATTGTACACAAGTATATTTTTTATGAACCTAACCAGATGTATTGTCTGTTTGTTTACATAGTGGGTGGGGTGGCCAGGCTGGCTTCTCTACACTACCCTGGAAATAAATGGTGTAAAATACCGACACAATGGAAATATAAACACATATGCAGTATAATGTGATCCTTTATTGACTACGTTTTGCCCACACAGTGGGCTTTTTCAAGTCACAAACAGATCTGTGTGGGCAAAACGTAGTCAATAAAGGATCACATTATACTGCATGTGTGTTTATATTTCTACACTACCCTACCTATCACATGACTTTCTACAAATAAATATTTTTCACATTTCACCCTACATTAACCCTTAAGCGGTCCAAACAGATCGACGTTCAAATTCGAAGTGCTACAAAAGTAGATCTACTTTTTTTTTACATATTTTCAAATATAACAAAAAAAAATGTAGATAAAAGTTTTTTTACATGTTTTCAAATGTAAAACAAAAA